GCAATCAGCTGGGAATCCCGGTTATGAGGCCGGTTTTCCTCCGCATGCTGTCCTATTTGGGGAGTCCCTTCCAGTTCTGCCAGTTCAGTTCTTCGAGTTCCGACGAGGAAACTGAGATTGAGTGAGGAAAACTGACTCACCCAAAGCACCAGTGCAGGTAACAAAGCCGGTACTGGTAAAACGCTTCCTAGGTGGCGCAGTGGTAAAGAACGCGCCTGTCAACGCAGGAGAAGCCAGAGACGTGGGGTCCATCCCTGGGTCGGAAAGATCCTCTGGAGTGGGAAATGGCAACCCACTCCAGTATTCTTGCATGGAAAATTCCATGGACAAAGGAGCCTAGCAGGTTACAGTCCATAGCCTCTCAAAGAATCAGACAGGAGTAAGCGCCCACCTTTCCCTTTTTACCTTTTCAGTTCTGCCTGGTCTCTTTCGGCACTTTACCAGCCTAGTCCCCTCCCCCTTGTTGCCACTAGGCGGTCCCGGGGCGACGAGGGGTAGGTGAGCTCTTACCCATTCCTCCCTGTCTTGGTGCCTCCATATCTTTCTTTATCCCTCCCCTCATCCCCCTCCAGTGAGTTCTGGAGAGAGCGGTTTGGACATTCAAAACCAGAGCTTATTCTAGATGGGAAGAGAACATTACAGGGAAACTGCCATCTCTCACTTTTCCTTCTAGACCAGTGGGGAGGTGTAGTCCGGGAACCGTCTCCTGGCTCTGTGTCTTACGTGAAAAGGGCATAGCTGGGGCTCCCAAATGCCCCCGGCAGGAAATGAAGAACAAGGGGAGCTTAGGATTGAGGTCAAGCAGGAGAGCATGCAGTGGGTGTAGAATAGGGTTGATTGTCCCCTCCACCATTTCGCTTTCCTGGCCCTGCCTCCCAGGCCACTTAGACCACCATCCCAAGCACATGTTCAGAAGAGGAAGGCAGGCTAATTGAGAGAGGCTCTGAATTTGAGATGAAAAAAATCTGGGTTCACCAAACGACTACTCTACTGCAGAGTACTGTTTGTGCGACTTTGGAGGGGTCACCTCAGCTCTCCGGGCTTGTTCCTTCATGTAAAGATATGATAATTACTGTTGTCCTGCCTACTTTTGAAGTGGACTTTTGTAAGGCTCAGAGCACTCTTTAGCTGAACCGGGCTTTCGGCACGGTGTGTGAGGTTTCTGTTATCCTCCCCATCTCCTTCCAGTCTCTGCACTCTCAGAGCTCTGACACTCTCTTTCCAGCTCTGACACTCTCCCTGGGCTACTGGCAGTCCCTGCTTGTCTCCCTCCTTCAGCTCTGACCGCGGGCCACAGCCCTGGGCCCTGCCTTCCTCCATCTACCACTTCCCCAGCGGCCCTAGCCAGACTTCCCCTCCCCTGGCAAAGTCAGAAGCCTCAGACTTTAGGATCCACCTCCAGCGCTGCTGCAGCTTGGTGGGAGTGAGGTCTAAGAAAGGAAAAGGAGGCAGACATCTCCAGCTCGAGTGAGGGAAGGGCTGGAGCCCGCCAAGCAGGATGCAGGCTACAATGGGGAAAGGGAACTCCAAATTCAGAGGCAAAGGTGAATTCTTTATCCACCTCTACCACTAACCCCTGGTGTTTCCCTGGTGGCCCAGACAGCAAAGCGTCTGTGTACAATGCGGGAGACCCGGATTCAATCCCTGCGTCGGGAAGATCTCCTAGAGAAGGAAATAGCAACCCACTCCAGTATTCTTGCCTGGAAAATCCCATGGATGGAGGAACCTGGTAGGCTACAGTCCATGGACTCGCAAGGAGTCGGACACAACTGAGTGACTTCACTCACTCACTTTCACCACTAAGCTCTCTCTGGATGGATTCAGGACCTTCTCACTGCTGTGCCCTGGGGCCCTGGAGACACCAGGGAAGAACACTGACCTGCATTTTGTGGATGCGGGGCTGCCTGGGTTAAGAAATAACCTTGATTTGGAGTACTATAGAGTACCATGCTGCCATAAAAAAAGAATGGACAGGCTGTAAACATACTGGTATGAAATCCTTTACAAGGTATGTGAAGCAAAAACAGCAAGGTGCAGAGCAGGGTGTAGAGTATGTTATTAACTAGAAGGACAAGTATATGCAGAATGCAGCCACTTCTGTCCACTGCTATGGCTGTAAGCCTGCTATAAGCCACCAACACATCTGGCCCCAATTGTGCCCATTACCTCCTAAGAGGTCTCTGTTGTTCTACCCTTGGTCCCCTAAAGGCTATTCTCAACCCAGTGCCAGTGTGAACCTTTTAAATAAAAAAATCAGTTCATGCTCAACTGCCTGCAACAGTTCCTTATTTCACTCGGCATAAAATCTCAAGTTGTTACCATGGCCTACTAGGCTTGCTCCAACTCCCATCCCTAGCTCAACCTTCTCTTTTTCCATAGCACCTATCACCTAATAACATCAATGTGCTTGTTTTTATGTTTATATTTTCTGTCTCTATCCACCAGCACGTAAACTCCAAAAGTACAGGGATCTATTTTGTTCACTGCTGTATTCAAAGCAGCCAGAATGGCATATAGCAGATGCTCAATAATATATGTTAAATGAATGAATGAATCTTTTGCCATTTGCAACAGAATGGTTGAACCTGGAGAGTATTATGCTTAATGAAATAAGTCAGAAAGACAAATATGTATGTTATCAGTCACATGTGGAATCTAAAAAAACAGAACGAATGAATATAAGATATAGAGAACAAACTAGTGGTTATTAGTGGAGAGGGAAGGGGGAGGGACAGGATCTATGGGATTAAGAGGTATAAACTACTATGTATAAAATAAATAAGCTACAAGTATCTTTTGTATAGCACAGGGAATATAGCCAATATTTTATAATAAATGGAGTATAATCTATAAAAAATTTGAATCACTATGCTGTACACCTGAAACTAATATAATGTTGTAAGTCAACTATACACCAATTTAAAGAACTTAAAAAAAAATTGCTGTCCAAGAAACGGGTCACCATGGTTACCTCTGGCGAGGAAAGCTAGGGGATAGGTGCTAGGGGATAAAGAATTATCAGAGCTCTTTATTCTAGGCATATATTACTCTGACAAAGAGGAAGAAAACAAGCCCAGAGGAAAAGGAGTCAACTAAGAAGTCTGAGGAAGCGCTGGTCCCTGGCAGTGGGAGAAGGTCACATACACCACCTCCAGGCCAGTGTCCCAGGATAGAATGGGAGAAAGGCAGAACTGGGCCCCAGAGAATGCTGGGTAGAGATCCGAGGGACGCTTTGGCTGCCTCTGAGGTTGTGGGGGTCTGAGTGGGCATGTCAGTAGGCAGGAGCAAGATGATGTAAATAACTGGTGTGTACTGACCCCAGGGAGTGATTCAGGGAGAGCATGTGTTGGTGGCTGCCAAGGGGAATCGAAGAGTCAATTCTGCTCATTCTGGCTGTGTCCTGTGCATTGTTATAGCCTGCAGGACAGCTTTCCCTTGCAGCTTTGTGTGTGAGCTAGAGGAGCAGGGCCTGCTCTCTGTAAGCTGGGAACTAGTACCAGCTCAGTGATTTCCCCAAGATCTTCAGGGGCAAGGAGCTGGCCAGATCAGGTCTTCTATTTAGGTTCCCAGCCTTACATGGAGGGCCTCATAGAAGAACCCACCCAAGCTAGACTCCTCCCTTTCTGCAAGTTGGGAGGAACCTGGCCTTTCCACCCAACGCCCTCCCCACCCAGGCACCAGTGAGTCAGGAAACCTGGCTTTCAGTCTTTCTATCCATGACAACCTCCTTTCCTCCCTGGCTCCAGACTCTTCCGGTGCTGACTTTTTCTGATTCCCCTGTAGACATTTAGAACTTTCGATCTCAAGGCCTATTTATTATACATATAGTTCAGTGATTCTCAAACAGAGAGACTGGGGGCAGGCCATTTCTGGTATTGAGAGGGTATGGTAAGATCAGCCATCTGGGCCAGTAGGCTCCCCGAGCCAGACTTGGAGGAGCGCCAGGTCCTGCTGCAGTCTGACTGGGGTCCTAGCCAGCAGGCCAAGCTCCTGTGCACCAGAGGTGCGCTGGCGGTGGGGGCTGGGAACGGAGGCCCAGAGATGAGGCAGGTCTGACAGATGGCACAAACTCGCAACAGGATAGCACTTCACTCGTTGTTTGTGGCCCATCCTTGGTCAAGCACAGCTGGCCCCGGGAGTCTTGATGGATGCTGGACTGGGTGCTAAAAAAAGAAGAACAGGAAGCTGAGAGGCAGGTTCTGCCACAGAAGTTGCAACCGTGCCTCCTGTCTGTCTGCCTTACCCTGCCCACCTGAGCGATGCCGGCCATGGTGCCCGTGGAGTGGAGGCAGGTCTCTGCCACCGTTAATCCAGCAGCTCCTTGATACACCAGCAGCAGAGAAGGATGTAGACCATTTCCTTCAGGGTCCGCTGCAGGCCCTCCCACCCTGTGCCCATCTTCATGATGGGAACCCGAAGTCCAGTGTCTCGCAGGACCCCTCCGAGGGAGAAGGGCAGGGCCTGGGCTAGGGGCTGTGTCCGGGGCTGCATGTGGATTGCAGCTGAGGAAGGGTGTGGGAGATGCGTCCAGTGCCTTTTATCAACATTGTCCCCACCCCCTTCAGACCTCATGACTGTGGGCACAAGGGCCCCAGGGTCTAGCACAGGGAAGGTTCTGGGCCCGAGAATGGGCTGAGTCAGCCCCTGTGCCCAGGGATGCTGGGATGGGGTTAGTAGGAGGGCCCGGCCACTCCATCTTTCATCCTCCACGGCCAGGCCAGCTCAGCTTCCCTTCTTCCAGCCTGGGTCCTGAAACCCTGGGTCCACTGCCTGGTTGTCCCTCCCCCCTCCCCCCAGGGTTGACACTGCTCCCTGCTTCTGCCCTCTAGTGGGCTCCTGATGAGGCTGGCGCTGAAAATCATCAGTGAGAGCTCCTTCCCAGCCTGCGCTGCCCCCCCATCCCCCTTAGAGTGAGCACTGGGGGCTCCGAGCTGCCAGGGCCTGGCTTCCTTTTGCTTCTCCCTTTCCCTGAAGCAGGAAGACAAAGGCACAGCCAGAGCCACAGGCACAGGAGAGGTGGTTTATTGACAGGTTAGACCCCAGGACGGCCTCCTCCCTTCCTGCCTTGAAAAGGGCGGGAGTGGGAGGTCAAGTGCGGGAGTTCCGCTCCTCGTCTTCGTTCTCAAGCAGGTAGGCTGGACGGTAGGTGGGCTGTCCTCCTGGGCTCAGGCACTTCAGGGCTGGGTTCCGTACAGTGTTCTCCCGGCTTCCCAGTGACGTGTAGCTGGGTGGGGTAGGGTGGGGGTGGCGGAGGGCATGGTGGGTTTCTGATGGGCTTGGTGTTCCCAGTCCCGCACCCTCATGTCTTCCACACGCCCGTCCCGTCCCCCCAACACCTTACCCTCGGTCATACAGGATACAGTAGGGGACAAACAGTTGGCGCAGGAAGTCCCAGATGTCTCTGTAGGTCCAGTCCTGGGAGGCCAAAGTCAGAGCAGACTCACAAATACTCCCCCTCCCACATCTACCCTCATCCCCCTGAGGAAGGGCCTATCCCGGCACTTCCGCTCCCCTAGCCTCTGAGGGAGGACCTGCTACTAAACTCTGTGGTACATCTTGCTCTATGTACGCCAATCAATGAGAGAAACCATCCTGTCCCCTCCCCATTCTCAATCCAACCTCCACTGAGATGTAATTTCCAGGAGGAAAGGGAGAGGCTGTTTAAGGCTATTTGTGTAAGCTTGTGCTATCCAGAAGAACTATCTGCAATGATGGAAATGGTCTATATCTATGCCGCCTAACATGGTAGTCATTTGACATAGGCTGGTACAATGTATAACTAAGGAACTGAAGTTTGAATTGTATTTAATTAAAAAATTGAGATATAATTCACAAGCCATGATATTCATCTTTTTAAAGCATACAATTCAATGTTTTAAAGCAATTTGTATTTCATTTCAATTAATTACAATTCAAGTGTAAATAAATGGCTCACGGCTACCATATTGGACAGCACAGGTCTAAGACACTGTTTGGTCCACATGCTTGCCGTTGAATTAGTGCTCAATAAAACCTGATCAAAAGGCTGAATGAACAGATACCACTGCCTCCCTTGGCTGATGGGGCCATTTCATCTAAGCCCCAGGGTCTAACCCTCCCACCCCAGGAAGCCAGGGAGCAATGACTGATAGGGGACAGGAGACTGAAGGTGATAAACCCCCTTCCCCATACCAGGAGCGGGTTGATGCGCATGAATGCAGGCCAGCCTGGGTCGGTGGGGCTGAAGGGGCAGAGGCTGCAGGAGTAGGGGTCAGTGCGGCGGGTACCCATCAGCACCGCCTCGAGCTGGGGGTGCCGCGCCTGCAGCTCACTCAGGGCCTGCTTCATGTCTCCCTCAGCCTCCAGCACCTGCAGATTGTACCTGAGGAAGAGTGCCGGGAGTTAGGAGTGGGCCTTGCCAAGCCCCTCTGGGATCCAAAATCTCCAAGGCCCCTAGTACCTCTTGATGGTGTCCTGTAGAAACTGCTCCAGCTCAGGGAAAGGGGAGATGCTGCGGATATACAGGATCTGGAGGGGCTTCTGAGCATCAGGGCACTTCCTGGGGAGGGGGCAGGATCCATTGGCTTGCCAGGATGGGCAGGGCAACGCTCCCCAGAGAGCTTGCTCTGTTCCCTTTGGCCACTGGGATAGACACCCTTTCCTCCTCCCTTTTCCTCATCCTCATCTGAAGGGAAGAACCCATTTGCTCTGGCAAGCCCACTCTGATCTCTCAAATCTGGAGCCCATACTCATTTCTAGCATGTAGGCCTTACCTCCCCGACAGGACTGTGACCTCCCTGTGGTCGGGGAAGGTGGCTCGCATATCCATACCCAGGGCCAGGCAGGTGTCAGATGCTCAATAAATACGGGAGGAACGGAACTGAGAGGTCACTGTGGCTACCGCCCTGCCAAGCCCCACCCAGACACCCCTCTTCCTTCCTGCTTCTTAGGATGGGGAACTAGCAAATGGGGCAGCTCTATCTCTGGGGTCTGCCTCCAGGGGGTGAGCTCACCTCTGCACTGCGGCGTGGAAGAGGTGCAGGAGGGCAGTGCAGTCCTTGCCCCCGTTGAAGCCCACGCAGAGCTGGGTGAGGCTGTACCGAGCCAGGGCAGTCTCAATGGTCTGGAGGGCGCCTGCCACCTTCTCCCCCAGAGAAGACCCTGCCACGCAGGCAGGGAAGAGAGCATCAGTTAGATACATATGGCTGTCAAAAGGCAGGGGTGGCCAAGCTGCCCTTGTTTAAGCCCCTTTCTATCTTCCCAGTGTTCAATTCCTTCATCTGCCCCCTGCCCGTCATTTAGCCATACCTCACGGTATTCTTCACCTCAGTGTATTCCCTCTGGGGGTCCTGGTTTCTTTTCATTCTCCTAAAGCTCATGCTGTTTCCTTCCCTCTTTCACACTGTTTCCTCTTGCCCATCTCCTGGTCTAACCAAATTCTTCTTGCGTGTGTGTGTGTGCTAAGTCGCTTCAGTTGTTTCTGACTCTTTGTGACCCTATGGACCGTATCCCACCAGGCTCCTCTGTCCACTGGATTCTCCAGGCAATACCGGAGTGGATTGCTATGCTCTCCTCCAGGGGATCTTCCTGACCTAGGGATCGAACCTGCGTCTCTTAAGTCTTCTGCATTGGCAGGGGGGTTCTTTACCACTAGCCCCATGTGAAAATCCTCCTTATCACTCAGCTTATATGTCACTCACCCAGGGAAGCCTTCTCTGACCCCAGATCAAGGCTGATCTCCCTGCTGTGGAAACCCCCTCATCACTGACCACTCATGCACAGTTACCTTTTTAACATCCCCCTCTCCTGTTAGATAAAACTACTTGTCCAGAGCAGGGGTACCTCTGTCCTGTTGAGCTAAACCCCCAACACCCAGCACAATGTTGCTGAAAGGAAGTACTCAATTGATATTTATTGGAAGAATGAATGAATCTGCTGTAGCTATCTTCTACCTTCTCTTGGATCTGCGGCAAGCCTCCAACAGCCCACCACTCCTAAGACCTAGGGTGGCACCAGTGGTCTGGTGCCTTCTGCCCCTTCCCCAGAAGGCCCCTACCTGACTCAGTGAGTTTGTACACGGCCTCACCGGCCTGCTCCACGGCATTGGGCACGTAGGGAACTACTGATCCCTGAGGCAGACGGGCGGTCAGGTAGGCCAGGCACTCCTCCAGGGGTCCTTCTTCCTCCGAGTCCAGTGTCAGCTTCACCTGATAGTAGTTGCTGCCCCAGTCAGGGTAGGAACCCAGGCCAAGCCTGCGCCCAAAATGGGCCTGGGCCTCAGCCAGGATGGGGGCGATAGAGGCCTCGTTAGCTGCCACATACATTTCCCGCAAGTGGAACTGAACAGCTGTGTTTTGGAACAGCCCCTTCAGCCCTTCCAGCACCCGACGGAGCAGCTCCGGAATTCCCGGGAAGAGGTAGACATTTCGGACGGAGACTAGTGGGAATCGGAAGGGGTGGCCAGTGCGAGGATCTGTGCCATAATGCAGGCGGGCAGAGGCGGGCACCCGCGACAGTTTCTCCCAGCCCGCCCCTCCTAGGGCCTTGACGGCCGCTTCCAGCTCAGGGTGTGGCTTGAGCTCGTCCCCAAAGGCCTGGGCCACTGCCTCAAAGGTCACATCATCATGTGTGGGGCCAATGCCCCCTGCTGTGAGGACGTGGGTGAAGCGGCTGGAGAAAGCTGTGACCTCAGCTGCGATGGTGGCTACCTCGTCAGGTACCACGGAGACTCGGCACACCTGGACCCCCAGGGAACGCAGTGTCCGGCACAGAAAGTAGGTGTTGGTGTCTTGAGTGTGTCCCTGGGAGATTGGGGGTGGGGAAGATGAGCGTGTCAGTGCTGTGGGGACAAAGGAGGAAGGATCAAGCTGCAACTGCCTGCTGACGGAGCACTCTGCTCTTTGGGGGACACCCACTTCCGGCAGCCCACAAGCCCACACTGGGCCCAAGAGTGGGAAAATCCATGTGAATGGAGTCAGGGGTAATGTGATCCAACTTGGGCTTCCATCTCTGCGCTTGGACCTTGACCTCCTCTTTGCTTATCGATTCAATTATCAATTTTATGTGGACCACTCATCCACTTCCTCATCAACCCTGACAGTTTCAGGCCCCTGGTCCCAAGTGCTTAAGGGCATCTTCAGATTCCTGGCTGTTGTCACTTTGGTCAGTGGCATCCTCAGACACTGTCTGCAGCCTGTCAGGCCCTTCATGCTGTCAATTCTACTTCTGAAATGTCTCTCCATCTGCTCTCTTCTTTGTTCCTACTGCCACCAAACAGGTCCTTGGCACTTTTCACCTGGATGGTGGCAACAGACCCCTGGCCAGGCTCCCAGTGTCCTGCCACCGCACTCTGCCCTAGGCCTCCGCAGCAACCTTCCTAACATGTCACTGTGATTGTGTCACTCTTGGCTGAAAAGTCATTTGTTATTTCCAACCATATACAGAATAAAGTTCAAATTCCTTTGCAGAATATTCAAGGCTGTGTGTCTATGGTGTGTACGCACTCTTCTTTTCTAGCCCCATCTCCTTCTATTTCTGTACGGAGTTTAGTGGTTAAGGTAGACTCTGGTGTAAATGCGACTCAAGTTGGAATCCCACCTACCACTTACGAGCTGTTCAGGGAAAGCTTCTCAACCTTTCTCAAGCCTCAGTCTCTATCTATTAATTGAGATTTGTAATAGAAGTACCCACATCATAAGGATAAGGATTAGGAAAATCATATATGTGATGTAATACAAGCACACTGCCAGGCCCTAGTAAGCACTCAATATTACTATTACAAACCTGATGCCCACCATGACCTCCAGTGAGACTTCCCTGATCATTCAGAAGAGATTTCCCCCTTCTAGTACTTTCCTTCTATCTCTCCTGAATGCTTTGGATCATTTTTCCAAATAGGTTGGACATAACTCTGAAATAATACATGCACCTGTACCTCCTATACACGCTGGACTCCTCGTCATTTCTGTAAAGGTCCTCCTCCCCCTACCATACTGCTTGGCAATTTGTAGGGACTTTGCTACAAGTTTTTCAACAGAGTAACTGAAAGAATAAGGGTCACTTTTCCTCCAATATCTTGGACTCACTCCAGGGCCCTACTGCAGCCAGAGGGCTCCCACCCTGGTTCACCCTCCCTCAACAGAACGTGGAGAAAGCTCCCAAGGACCGGAGAATGCTACCCCCCCGCCCTCCCCGTCCCAGACACACCTTGAGGATCTCATCTCCAACAATGATGATGCCCGCCGTCACGTTGCGCCCTGGCGGAAGTTCAGAGGCCCTAGATGCCATGGTCCTGCCTTCTCTGCCCCTCTGGAAGGCCCTCCAGTAGCCACCCAGACCCCCGAATAGGGGTCGCAAGCACTGGGGGCCCGCCAGGTCTACAGGACACTGGGGGTCATAGCCTGGGAACAGGGATTCCGGGGTGGAGGGAACCTGGAGGAGCCAGAAAGGACAACGGGGAAGAGGAGGAGCGCATAGTTTTCCTCATCAGGCCCTTGACAATCGACTCCTTTATCCCTTTCCGTTTGGTAAACGTGTTCTCAAACTCTAGCCCATACCTCTTTTAATGTCTTCTATGCTCCGTCCTAGTCTCCTTAAAATGTCCTTCTCTCCCGAACCTACCAGTTAAAAATGTCTTCTGTCTGCAGAGCTCGGTTCTTCTAGGGTCGGCTCTATCCAGGGCATCTGCACTTTTATATTTATATATGTCTCTTCTCTTTGGGGCACCTGTCCCTTTAAATGTCTACCTTATCCTGGGCCTTGGCCCCTTTAAATGCGTTCCCTCCTTCCACCACCGACCAGAACTCAGCAGCCTTCTGCAGTCTTCACACCCTTTCCAGCCCAGAATCCTGTCTTTTCCCGCCACGCTTCAGACTGCTGAGCTCTTCCAGGTTCTCACCTGCCTCTTGCCCCTTCACCGGGTCTTTCCCTCTCTCCTTTCCTCCTGTCTCTGGGCAGCTTCCGTACTCAGAGTCCCGCCTCAGACTCACACTCACCTCATACTAATTGGTTATTTTGGCCGTCGCTCAGACCACTTCTATGGGTTCATTGGTGTAGTCGACCATCGCTCGCGAGCCTTAGCCAGAGGGCGGGAGTAGTGCTGGGTTGTTATTGGCGACAACCACGTGGCCACCCTCACCCGGAAGCGAGGGGGCTGGGCCTTAGCCGGGGGGCGGGGTTTTTCTCTCAAGAAAAGTCCTGAGGAGTGGAAGGAGCCGAGGGGGCTGAAGGGGCTCTAAGGTGTTTGTGGTGCTCCCTTCTGGTGCTGGAAGTAAAGAGAAGCTTGACTCTAACCTCCGCTCAGTGTTCAGATTCTTGCGTGCACATACTATGTTATTCATGAACCACGACTCTGAGGGGTCAGGGGCTGGCACTGGTGTCAAAGAGGATTTTACACTGTAGCAAGTGGAAGTTGGACGGACACCAAGAAAAATGGTCAGGATTGCCTGTGAGCTAATGAGATCCTGGTGGTGAGCTTTTATTGTGTGGAACTTTCATTTGTCTCTGTTATAAACGATAAAGCTAGTTACTTCAAATTTTTGACAACGAAGTCTTGCCCCACCTTGTTCCAGATGGTGCTTTAAACAACCTCTCCCAGTTAATTGGTCTTGTAGGTACAAGTGAGGGCAGAGACAAAGGGAGGGCCACATGTCCACTTTGGAGTCTCAGCTTCCACTTATTTTACTTGTCTCTGGTCTAAAAGTACTTAATACTCCTACCAATCTTCTGGGGGCCTTTTTAATACGCTGATTAAATCTACAGGGTTCTGGCCGTTTGGGTGGGGCCAGAGATCTGCATTTAACAAACCCTCCTGTCATCCTGATGCCATTGCTTTTTGAGTAAAGGTCTAAAATTTCATGTGGAGAACTACTGAACCACACCTGCCTCATTTTACTCTCCTAAAACCCATTTTACAGATGGGCAACAGGCTCAAATAGGTGACGAGATGCCACATAAAAACCACAAAAACACTACAGTGAATAAGAGTCAGGCTTCTAGAAGGTTCAAGTAATAAGCCTAGTTTTGTTTTGTTTTTCCAATTAAGGGAGTCTCAGCTCTAAAAAAAACAAACTTGGGCTTTCCTAACGGCGTAAGCCATATGCTACAGTATCTTTCTTAATAATCATGGTGATATTTGACAAGCCCCTCCCCAAAATGCCTCCTCCTTACCCCTCAACATCAGCTCCGAGTCTTTTAGTGGGTTCTCAAACTTAAGTGTGCACCAGAATCACCTAGAGAGCTTGTTGAAATGTCACTGTGTCCAACCAACCCTCAGAGTTTGATTCAGTAGGCCTAGGGTGGAGTCCAAGAATGAGCGCTTTAAGTTTTCAGGTGATATTGACGCTTCCGGACCAGGGACCACACCTGTACTGCTGACTACTACCGCTCTAGGAATAAATGAGTGAAAAATAAGAGAAAGTGGGCAGATTAATCTCCCTTACTTAGCACTACTATTAAAAGTAGAAGGTAAGCTATTATTTGGCAAAATGTTTCTTAAATAGTCACAGTTTACAACCGTCTTCTCAAAGCTCAGAGCAGTAACTACCTGTTTAAGAAGGCTTGAAATCCCCTTATCCAGGCCATACCCCAGACCAATTAAGTCAACTTCCCTGGGAATGACTCCGGTGATTCCAATGTTTAGCCAAAGTGAGAATCACTGAAAACACTCCCAAACCACTCTGTGGAGTGAACAGGCCATAGGTGTGCTGGAGCCTTAGGCTGGTCAGGAAGTGGAGTATACTAGCAGCCTCGCTTTACCCTTGTTAAGTGTAACGTCTCTTTGTGACCCTATGCGCTATAGCCCGCCAGGCTCTTCTATCCATGGAATTCTCCAGGCAAGAATAGAATACTGGAGGGGTAGCCATTCCCTTCTCCAGAGGATCTTCCCAACCCAGGGATCGAATTTGGGCCTCCTGCATTGCAGGAAGATTCTTTACCATCTGAACCACCAGGGAGGCCCCCCAAACCCTTGTGTGCCCTTCAAAAAAATCAGACTATGTTAATGGCAGTACCCGACCATAGAAAACAACTGATTTGTTTTTATGAGATGATGTTGTCCCTATATAACCTCTCTTAGGCCTGCAGTTAGAGTGAAATATATTTCAGTAGATATTTGACAGCAAAGTCTACTTAAAGTAGATTACAAACCAGTTACTTGAAACAAACCTCAATGTCAACAAAGAGCTGAGCTTCATTATCTTACTGAAGGGCATATAACTAGAACCATGATAGTGAGGGTGATGTCCTGAGAGAAGGGGGGAAAAAAACCTTTAACAATTAGAGAATTAGATCATAAAAACTTTCTCTTTAATCAAGGCTTTTAACATGGAACAGATTTCTTGGAATAAAATGGAAAGTTTCCAATATACTGAAACATAAATCAACATACACACAACACCTGGCAGGAAAAAACCAAAACAGCCAAGTTTACACAATCCCTGTAATAGTCGTGGTCTTATTCTCAGATGCTTTCTCCATCTGTCAAGCGTGTTCTGCTGGATTCAGAGCTCACATAGATTTTGGGGGTCACACAGCTGAGGCTGCAACCCAGAGAGCACTCACTCATCGAGCTGGGCTGTGGTCCTTCCTGTCAGTTCTGCTCAACAAGCAAAGCAGTCACCAGCACATTCAGTGTATTGAAAATCCTTTAAATATCAAAGTGAGAAACAAGAAGGCAACACAATAATGTCATCAGGAAGATGTTAGCAAGTGAGGACAGCTGTGTAAAGCTTGAGGCTGAAAAGTGGCTCCCCAGCTTCATTTCTTTGGTTTCTTGGGCAGTGGCCGCCGGAACAGCAAGATGTGAGGTTCTGAAAGAGTGAGTGAGTGAGTGAGATCTAAAGAGTAAGTAAAATCACACCGTCCTATGCACAACCTATAGTGCATCCCACTCCCACTTCCCAGCTATCACCACTTAGATCTTTGTAACTAAATGAAGATTTAAGCATATGGCCTTAGAAGCAGACCCAGAAGCCTGGCTTGTGTGCCAAGCACACAATTGTTAATATCGGTTCTCTTGCTAAGTTTCTATAGCCCCAGGGTGTCCTTTATTAGTTTTGCCTGGTGGTTTGGTGTCTGGTACCTTATCGAGAAATATACTTTCCTTTGTTTATTTGGAACACACCTCAAAATTCACTTTCTGATGGAGAATGAAGAAGAGGCCATAACCTCTACACCAAGATATATGTGGCCTTTAAATATATATATGTATATTTATTCTCTGACTGAATTAGAGATTAAAGGAGTTTTGTTTTTTTTCTTTTCCCCTCCAGTGACAGGTTGTATCTGAATCTCCCAGATACTTTATTTCTTATTTTTGGTCACTCCTGTTTTTCTAGATGGCTAGTGAGTTAAGAAACCAGTAAATCATCCCCTCCTTCATTTCCTTGGTCCTACATGGTTGCTTTCTGCCATTGCACTGACCTGGTTCATGGATCATATAATGGACCCATCCCTGACTCTGCTGAACACCAAGATTCCTCCATTCAGATTCAGACATCAAATGAGTTTTAGGAACCAGCTTGGCTATGTCCTTGGGCAACATGACATGCCTGTAATAGAAACATGGGAAGGTGGGAAATTTGTATTAGTACTGGGTACAATCTATCAGATGAGGGGGCCAGCAGGTAAAGCCAAGACAGACAAGAGAAACCAGTTTGTAACGGCAGGGAGTTTATAAAATCTTACTGTAGTGCAAAGGCAGCTAGAAATAAAGCCCAAGTTATGGGCCAAGTTACATAAATTCTCACGAAAGTATATTAGAAAGTAAGTATTAACGAATAACACCCATGAATGAGCGCCAAAATCCCAGGCACTGATGATACATTACAGTCCTCTAGTTGATTACTCTTAAACAATATAACGGGAGCTCCAGACATACACACATAGTGTTAATAATTAAAGGTTGTTCTGAACAGGGTTGTAAGTAAGGGAGAGAAGTGATTTCAGAGAGGAAAGGCCTATCAGGGAGTGCTGTGTGGAAAAGCCAAAACACAAAATCAAATACATGGAGAAGGAAATGGCAACCCACTCCAGTATTCTTGCTTGGGGAATTCCATGGACAGAGGAGCCTATCGGGCTATAATCCATGGGGTCGCAAAGAGTTGGACATGACTTAGTGACTAAACAACAAAGATATCTATTTATACATTTATACTTATATAAATTTTTTTGGCCTATGTATAAATACGTCCACAATCCCCTCCCTTATTTTTAAGTTTTACAATTTACAACTTTATTTTCTCACAATCCATTTGGTTACTAAGTCTGAGATGACCTGAATTTATCTGCTGGTGAAATAAAGGCTTTTTTACCCGCCCCTGCCCCCAAGAATGAAATAGAAAAATCTTATCTTTTAAAATCTATCCTCAGTTACATTTTTCAACTTTGAAAGGATGTGCCACGAGACTTCTTTGGGGGGAGACTCCATGCTTTCCTAACCAAGGATGTCTCCTTTTATAGCAAAGAAATTACTACTTGAATTGGGGTGACCCAGACTTGATTATGTTCAGTGAAACTGTATTTAATGCTCTCTCTGTGCTAAGTAAAAGGGATTCCACCCCTCCAGCCCCCCGAGGGTCAATTCTAGTCTAAATGTCTGAAAACAGCTTACATCCTAACAAGCCCCTGGCATAAAGACTGGCTTCCAGGACTATTTAGACCAAAAAAAAGAAAAACCCAAATGTTTCCTTAAATTAAATATCACTGCCAAGACTTACATCCTTCAGAGGATGAAACTAGTGATGTCTCCCTAGCCCTGCAAAGACATTTTAAGCACATAATTTTAGTTAGCCTAGTTCAGATGTAGAGAAAAACAGCTGAGGAAAAGAAAGTTAATTGGGTCCAAACAGGGCTGGAGTGTTTTGTTTTGTTTTTGGTCTGGATCGTAGTTGCAGCATGTGGGACCTAGTTCCCTGACCAGGGATTGAACCCAGGTCCCCTGCATTGGGAGTTTGGCGTCTTAGCCACTGGACCACCAGTGAGATCCCAGGGCCGGGCTATTTGTCAGCATACACCAAGTTCTCCAGAAGGCTCAGAGCCCTGCACTAGGCTGAAGAAACACAAGAAAATCAAGCCTCCAGTTGTTTTAACTATTAATGCTTACTGCAGATTAGTGGAATGCCAACATTTGTAAAATTGTCTTGCCTTATTTTCTAATCTAGAATTACGGACTTAGGGTTTATCAAATGCAAACTCTGTACGGAGTCCTTTCTTTATAATGCTTGGTAAATCCTACATGCTTCCACCACAACCTACCTGAACATAGCTCTATCATACCAATTATCTTCTTTCTGAAGCCTGTCTGTATTTCCACATATTTTTTAGTCTGTTGAAAGCAGGGACCATGGCTTATCCGTGTACTTTAGCAGAACACCTGAAACCTATAAACACTCCATAATTGTTTCCTAAGTAGATGCCCTTCAAACATTTGACTGTAATTTCTTAGGGCCATATTAAGTCTTTCCTCAGTGTTCCTGGTCAGTTTTATTCCATTCCAGTTCCTCGAAGCCCCCCTTCCTAAAACAAATCAGACAACCACGCCCCTTTCCCACTGATTAATAAGCAATACCCAGGCTCTCTTAGAACTCCCCGCACTTTGAAGACTCGAGGAAAATTCAAGCTTCGCCTTTGCCACCTTCTCCCATAAGGCTCTACAGTGTGGCTGTAATACAAGCAGTCTCAAGAAGGCAAGTTCAGTTTACTGAACTGAGGTGACAGAATGGTCCAGAAACCCGCAAAGCTGAGGGTGGTCAGTATTCTAACATTCGAACACTCTAACCACGACCACCCACGCCTCCTTCCAAATTCGCTATCACTTCAGGGTTTTTTTTGATTGCCCCCTACCTTTCGCGCATGCGCTTTACACGCAACACGCCCATTCCCGTTAATCTCCCGCGCATGCGCTAACTCTGCTGTTTCAGTCCCCGTTACCAACTTCTCGTGCCCTCAGTTGTCAAAACTCACGACCTTGATATTGCCCCCGCGCCGGCACTAACCGGTACTCGAACTCCTCGTCGTCGTATTTGTCCGAATAGTAAATTTGTTTGTGCGACATGATCACTCTGCCTGAGGACCTTCAGCCCCGCGCCGCCAACCTCCGAACAACTCCCAGCAGCACGCGCTCCCACCCTCTTTGGCCTCGCTTTCAAACACGCCGCCTGCGCTTTCTATTGGTCCCTCTGGCGGAAGGCGGGACAACCCCACCTTCGAGCCTCCGATTGGCTTAGATTTGCTTCTACTCAAGTCCTCATTGGAATGAACATTGCTCAAGAATTTGCGTGAGTAAAAAATAGGCCTTTTATTGGCTATCACTGCCGCTGTGCGCGTCCTCGCGCTGCCATTGGCTGATTCGGGAAAGTGGGACGGGTGAAGGAGGGACAATGAGGTAGAGGGTCAGGGGTTAGTGAGGCCGGAAGTGAGTGCAATAAAGTTTCTCCAGGGAGGCTGGGCCCGGGGAGAAAGTTGGAGCGGCGACCTGAGGAGGCAGTGGCGTGATCCGGAACCAAATCGGCCCGCGGTGCGGTGCGGAGACTCCATGAAGCCCTGGTGAGTTGGTACACTTTTCTCCTTAGGTGACCCACTCCTCCACCCCGGAACCCCTCTCCCGGGACCCTACTTCCGGTCTTCATTTACAAGTCCCGCCCCCTGCGACCCCCTCCCCGGAAGTCCCACCTCCCAACTTCAGGGGGCTCTCCGAACCCCGACTTATTTTCTGTTTATTGTCCCCAACCCTACCCTGTAGTCCAACTTTCCTGGAAGCCCCACCCCCAGACATGCTTCCAAACTCCTGCGTTAGTCCTTCCGATTCCCCGAAACCCCGCCTCCTCGAGACGATTCTCCGCTAACCCCTGTCTGTCAAAAGCCTAGCTCCCAAAAGGGCAGAACCCTGCTACTCAAAGAACTATTCGAATTCGTGAGGCCACGCCTCCCTAAGGGTTCCACCCCTTTAGAAGCCTCTCCCCTTCCTTAATCCACGTCGGATCGTCCAGAAACCTCGCCTCCTGGGAGTCTCCGGTGCACGCGTCTTGAGGGGCCACGCCCCTTCAGGAGCGTTATCCCGGTTGGACCCTTGTCATCGCCTCAGGAGCTTTGTCTTCAATCTCAGAAACTTCACCTGCTTGAGCTTCCTCGTTCCTTTTCTCTTTGGGGCCCTTGGCTTAGTTTTCCTGAGCTCTTAGGCTCAAACTGGGTAGGAAGTCAAAAGTTCCCATCTCTGACTCTGAGGAGTAAGAGATTAGAGGCAGCCCCTTTCCTCTGCCTTAGCCCGTTCCAAGGGTGGACCTACTTGAAGGGGGCTGGACTTGGGGTTTGGCACGAGAGTGGGAGGGAGACTTGCTCATAGATTCCCTGCCCCACTCCCTGAGTTTCCCTTCCCAGGACCGACTCCACCCCAGAAACAGCTGTTTGTCTCATACCTGTACGACGGGAGCTGGGTAGGGCCGTGAATTTGTCGATGTGTGACATGTGGGTGTGACAGAAGAGAAAGTTTTCAACCACCTGAAGACGGTGGCTTGGAATGGGTGTAGGTAACAGTGTCCTTTTTGCTGTTTGATTTTTTTTTTTTTTTTTTAAGGGACTCTTCAGGCCCTACCACTTCTCTGGCTCTTCCCTTCCCCCAAACAGAGTTCTAGTCTGGGCATTTCTCCTGGTCCTGCTTGCCCAGCCTTCCCTGCTGGAAACATTCCTGAGGCTTTCGCCATTTCCTGCTACTTTCCGCCTATCTTGCCTCCTCCTCCCTGCTGGGCTGAGAAGCCACATGCAACTTCTTCCCCACACCCAGTCGTTCGGATTCCCAGTTGCAATCTCCTTTCTTCCTCTGTAAATTTAAAGAGCCCTACTTCCTCTCTCTTTTCTAACCATGCCCGCACCTGTTGGTCATTCCTTGTCTCTGGATTCTGCAGGCACCCGCAGAATGCCCACCTCTAAAGATGAGGATATCCTGGTGTGTGTTTGTATGTGTGTAGGGGGGGCGGTGAGGCTTTGGCAGAATACTTTCCTCCTTCTGTTTCTGAGTTCTGAGGCCTTAGGAAACAGAGTGATAGATTTTCTTCTCAGGAGTGGTGCATGGAGTGGTAAAGCTCTCCTGGATTGAGGACTATGGGGGCGGTGATAAGCACAGTATCTAACATGTTTTAATTGTCAGGGTTGTTGGTCACTGTAATCACGATGATTTGCATTTTAAAAAATATTCTAAAGTAAATTTAAAGATAGGCAATTCCGAGGTGAGCCTGGTGAGGGTATATGTGTCTTTTACTACTACTTTTTTTTGGTTGCTTTCTAACTTCCTCTGTGGCCCCCTGGAGCAGAGCTGTGGCAGGATGCTGTGGGTGGAAGGAATGACTTTGGGACTGTTCCCTGTGTCCAGCCTCAATCCTCTTCTGGCACCCCTTTCTCATGAGCACAGATTTGTCTTCTGCCCCTCTGTCCCTTCCTGGCCACTTCTCTTGGAGAACTGTTGCACTGCCCCATCTCCTCCGGCCAGACTCTGCCCTTGGTATGAGGGGCATCATGCTCCGTGGTGGATACCTGCACTTTCCCTGGTCACTACTAAAGAGGAGGGGTATGTGTTCACCTGCAGGTCTAGGGATCTGACCTTAGTGTCAATGCCCTGGCCACCCCCCACCCCTTCTACCCTTGACAGCTTATTTGCCGTAAAAGAGGGGGGCAGAAGAGTACTTGGCTTGGGCCTCTGCTCCTTGGCATGGTAGGCGCCATGCACGGAGAACAAGCCTCCACCAAACTGTCCTCTGCTCCAGCTCCTGTCTGGTGGTTCCCTGACGTGCCACCCAGGTTGGACTTTATTCCTCTTACTTTAACAGCTTTGCCTTTCCTCTTGGCCCCTCCCTGCATCCACTGGGACCATGTCCTTCCTTTTCCCATTTCTTTAGCTCCCTCCACAGCTGTGATAGCCAAGGAGGCTAATGGCCCAGGCTCCCTGGGGCCACCACCCCTCTGTGGGGCAGTGGTGGGGGGTGGCTGGGGCTGGAGGCTGAGGGAATTTGAGTGTTCAACCAGGACAGGAAGGGAATTGCTGAGCTCAGGGATCCCCTCCCTTTCCCACCCCCAGCTGCCTCTGTTTCCTCCCTCAGCCTACCCCCCATCCCCCACTGCCCTCCCTCAGCTTCCTGCTCCCTTTGGCCTGCCCTGTCCGGTCTGGATTGATCCAGACCTCCTCTTATCGCCCTCCTTTCCTCCTCACTCCTCCATCCTTCCCTCCCACTCCCACTTTACTCCTCCCCCAATTACTTGTTTGTACGGTTGGGTGGGGGGATCAGGCTGGGGGGCATGGATCGCTCCGCCTGGCGGGCAGCGAGAGTTCTGGGTTGGGGCAGTGTTGGGGGCTCAGCCCCTCAGAGCCTGTGAGTCAGCACTGTCCTCGGGATTGGTCTCTCCCCTTAGCTCCCCGCCCCTGGGGAGGAGCCAGGCAGCTCTAGGTCCAGCCTGTTCTCCTCTCAGCCTGAGAAGAGGCTCCACGCTGGGCGGGGATGGGGCCTGAAACTGTCTGGGTCTGAGCTGGGGAAGCCAGAGCTACTTGTCCCTCTCCCTCCCCAGGACCCTTGAGATCCCTGGGCCATAGAGGTCCGATCAGGCTAAGGGCCTGGGATGCCCCCTGCCTGGCCCCCTTGCCCTGACTGGCAGGGGGGCCAGGCTGGGCTGCAGCCTCCCTCTCACTCCAGCCATGGATCTCCTGCCCCCCAAGCCCAAGTACAACCCACTTCGGAATGAGTCTCTGTCATCGCTGGAGGAGGGGGCTTCAGGGTCCACCCCACCGGAGGAGCTGCCATCCCCATCAGCCTCATCCTTGGGGCCCATGCTACCACCTTTGCCTGGGGACGACAGTCCCACTACCCTGTGCTCCTTCTTCCCCCGGATGAGCAACCTGAAGCTGGCCAACCCAGCTGGGGGGCGCCCGGGGCTGAAGGGGGAGCCAGGAAGGGCAAACGAGGATGGGGAGGGGATTGTAGGGGCAGCCATGCTGGACTCAGGCCCCCTGCCCCTCCTCCAGGACATGAACAAGCTGAGTGGAGGCGGCGGGCGCAGGACTCGGGTGGAAGGGGGCCAGCTGGGGGGCGAGGAGTGGACTCGCCACGGGAGCTTTGTCAATAAGCCCACCCGGGGCTGGCTGCATCCCAACGACAAAGTCATGGGACCCGGGGTTTCCTACTTGGTTCGGGTGAGTGAACATCCCCCCTCCCACTCCCTTGCGGACCTCTCCAGTTCCTCTGCTTACTAATCTCTCTCCCCTGCTCTTCCCCAGCACTCCCTTGGTTCTGGTGTCCTGTTTCTTATACCTTTCTTGCCCCTTCTCCAATTCTCTCGCCTCTTCCCTTCCAGCTCTGTCTGGGGCCCCTTCCTTCTTGTGACTCCCCTACCCCCACCCCGCCAGGCTTAGCACAAAGCCCAGCACAAGCCCTTAGTCAGTGTCGGCATGAGTGACTCTTGACTATCCCCTCCAGTCTCCTCCCCGCGTTCTGGAGAGTCACTCCATCCCACCCAGTGCCCATCACTCCTCGCAGATTCTCTTCCCACAGGCATGAGGTCTGCCTAGCTTGCCCTTCTCTCTTTGCCCCTCTTGTCCTGCATGTTGTGGGATATAGCCATGGGCAGTGGGCAGAACTTCTTCATCTTTACTTCCCTGAGGGACCAAGGAAGGAGAAGTCCTAGGGCCCTTTGTGAAGAGGTGGGGGGAGGTGGCTTACCGGTGTCCTGTCCCTCCCCTCAGTACATGGGCTGTGTGGAGGTCCTGCAGTCAATGCGCGCCCTCGACTTCAACACCCGGACTCAGGTCACCAGGTTAGTGGGGGTTGGGGGAGGAGGGTGGCAGTCCCAGGATTCACGAGGGGTGGGGAGAATGGGTCACTTGGTGATGGTGCTAGTGATGGCTTATCTTTGGGTGGTAAAGGGGGTTGAGAGAAAGTTAGGGAAGTGAGTCCAAGTCTTAATGTAAAGGGGCAACTCTGACCTGGCTCCTCCTTATTATCCAGCCCCAGGAATTGTGGGGGAGGTGGCAGAGGCAGCTGGCAGCTAGAGCTGGAGTGGAAAATGGGGGTAGATGAAAGGTTGCTGCTGCCTTTGGGAAGGGGATGGGACATTTGGTAGCTGGAAGGGGGTGGGGCCAGACCCATTGAGGCCCTAACCCAATCAGCCAGGAAGCGGCCTCTCAGTGTCATCAAATATTAAAGGCCCTTAATTCAATCCACCACGACAAAGAGCCTGGAGTGTCCCTGGAGTCTGGCCTGGCCTTCCCCTCCCCCAGCCCTGTGGCAGCCCCAGCCAAGTGGGAGGCAGGCTCTGGGTCTGAGTATCCCTCTTTCCCCAGGGAGGCCATCAGTCTGGTGTGTGAGGCTGTGCCGGGTGCTAAGGGGGCAACAAGGAGGAGAAAGGTACCTGGGGTCGGTGGGGCTAGGGATGCTGGGAGATGTGGAGGAGCAGGGGGAAGGCTAGTATGGGGCAGGTGGGGAGAAGACCGGAAGGCAGGGGTGTGGGGGTTTCCTGGTGTGGGGGACCCCCCAGCTTCTGAGACCCTTGGGCCCTTCCCTAGCCCTGTAGCCGTCCACTCAGCTCCATTCTGGGGAGGAGTAACCTGAAATTTGCTGGAATGCCAATCACTCTGACCGTCTCCACCAGCAGCCTCAACCTCATGGCCGCAGACTGCAAACAGGTTGGTGGGGTGAGGCGGCAGGGGGGTGGGCAGAAACATCGATGGGAAGGCTAAACGAGAACTTGGTTATGAGGGTAAGACACTGGGAGAGAAGGCTTGGGAGCAGTAGAACAGTAGGGAAGGAGGAGATGAGGAGAACATGCTTTTAGCAGCCAGAAGGATGAGACTGGGACGCCAGGGTCTTGGGCCAGTGGTGGGTGGTGCCCAGTGGACCCTGAGGCTGCCTGATGCCCATCATTCCCTTCCTTCTCCATCCTCTGCCCCAACCCTCAGATCATCGCCAACCACCACATGCAGTCCATCTCGTTTGCATCCGGCGGGGACCCGGTGAGTTGGGGAATGGAGCTCAGGTGGTGGGAGGAAAGTAAGGGGCTAGGGATTGGGAGGACACTGGCAAGAGAAGCAAGCCTGCTAGGACTGAGGCAGTGTCTGAGAAAGACTGGGCTTGAAGGGGTCAGGAGTGGTGTGGGGCTGTACAGTTTAGCTAACTGGCCTCTTCTGACTCTCTCCACCCCAGGACACAGCCGAGTATGTCGCCTATGTTGCCAAAGACCCGGTGAATCAGAGAGGTGAGGTGTGAATGGGGAGCACTGGGTGGGGCTGGCTGTCCAAGGGGCAGGTGAGCAGGACCCGGGGGGCCCTCATGCCAAGGACAGAGGCCAAGGGCCCCGTCTGCGCCTCCGCCCAGCTCCCTAATAGCTTCTGCTGCGCCCCCAGCCTGCCACATCCTGGAGTGTCCCGAAGGGCTCGCTCAGGACGTCATCAGCACCATCGGCCAGGCCTTCGAGCTGCGCTTCAAACAGTACCTCAGGAACCCGCCCAGGCTCGTTACCCCCCACGACAGGTGCGTGGGCGAGGCGGGTGGGGGGGTGGGCAGCCCGCTCCCGGGGGCCCCAGACCAGAACTGGAAAAGGAGGCCTGCTCTTCCCACACTCCAGCTCAGAAAAGGGCAGGGAAGGAAATAACCTGAGTGCCCCTGCTTCCTGCTATTCTTAAGTTTCCTGTGGCCGGCAGGAAGGTGTTCCGTGGCCCTGCCCGCTGCAGGGCCAGCTCTTCCCGTCGGGTGCCCGTGGTGGAGCTGCAGTGCAGGACGTCCAGCTCTTCCCTGGCTAGATGGGCTTCTCTTTTCCCAGCCGTCTCGTTTCTGGTCTGTCCTTTTGTGCTTCTCTCCGTATGTAGTTTAGTTCTTCACGTTCTTGCCTCTAGAAGCCATCAAGAATTTGGGTGAGGGAGGATGGCTCTTACCTGAGATGGTCACATTTCCTACCTAGACCGGTAGGGTTGAGTGTTTAGAGGAGGTGTTAGAATATTCTGGAGCACCCCCTCCCTGGTACTTGGTGCTCCCGCTCCCTCTTAGGAGACCGCATGACGACCAAGGGCATGATGTTAAGGCCAAATCTGAATTGACGTTCTGCTCCACCAGTAGTAGTGCTTGTTCAGTTGCTAAGTTGTGTCCAGCTCTTTGTGACCCCATGGACTGCAGCACGCCAGGCTTCCCTGTCCTCCACTATCTCTCGGAGTTTGCTCAAACTCATATCCATCGAGTCGGTGATGCCATCCGACCATTTCTTAGTTGTGTGACCAAAATCTTTTTATCCCTGATGATCATTTTCCTCACCTAAAAAACTGGAGAAGGAAACAGTATCTGCTTTATCAGTTTTCCAGAGAATGAAATGATTATATATGAAACACCCAGCCTCAGGCCTACCCCTCAGGGAATGCCCAATACGTGACCGCTGTTCTGATCTCCCTCCGTCCTCCCATCCATGCTCCTTTCTCTCTCCTGTCTCTCTCAGGATGGCTGGCTTTGATGGCTCAGCTTGGGATGAGGAGGAGGAAGAGCCCCCTGACCATCAGTACTATAATGACTTCCCGGGGAAGGAACCACCCCTTGGGGGTGTGGTGGACATGAGGCTTCGGGAAGGAGCCCTCCCAGGGGCTGCTCGACCCACTCCACCCAGTGCCCAGACCCCCAGCCACCTGGGAGCCACGCTGGTAAGGTGCTCGGACGGAGGCGGGCGGGGCTTGGATGGGAGCAGCTGGTTAGGGCCTCTGGCCTCACTCTGTCTTGGTCCCTTCAGCCTGTGGGGCAGCCTGCTGGGGGAGACCCAGAAGCCCGCAAACAGATGCCGCCCCCGCCACCCTGCTCAGGTATGAAGGGAACTGAGGGGGCAGAGCAGGGACTGAGAAGCAGGGGGTGGGGGGTGGCGCTCTAAAGCCTCTGTTTCCTCAGCAGGCAGAGAGCTCTTTGATGACCCCTCCTATGTCAATGTCCAGAACCTGGACAAGGCCCGGCAAGCAGGGGCTGGGGCCGGGCCCCCCAATCCTGCCATCAACGGCAGTGCACCCCGAGACCTCTTTGACATGAGTGAGTGTGCCTGTCGCCTTTCTGTGTCTCCATCTTCCCACTTGGTTCCTCCTCTTCTCCTGCCTCTCTGCTCTTTTCCTTCCTGGCCTCCCCTCCCTAAAGGCCTGGGTCCTGAGCATAGGGTTGTGTCAGCTGCCTCTCCTAGCCCTCTCTCTGTATCCCCAGAGCCCTTTGAAGATGCCTTGCGAATGCCTCCACCTCCCCAGTCAACAGCCATGGCTGAGCAGCTCCGAGGGGAGCCCTGGTTCCACGGGAAGCTGAGCCGGCGGGAGGCCGAGGCACTGCTACAAGTCAACGGGGACTTCCTGGTGCGGGAAAGCACGACCACGCCGGGCCAGTACGTGCTCACCGGCCTGCAGAGTGGGCAGCCCAAGCACCTGCTCCTGGTGGACCCTGAGGGTGTGGTGAGTGTGGCAAGGGTGTAGGTGGGCACGGCAGAAAGGAAGGTCCAGTATCCTACCTGAGGCTCTATTCCTGCCTCACTGCTTCCTAGACTTTTGTCTGCTGGGCACCTCTGTCTGGGCCTACCCTGTTCTCAAGGTGTCTGGCATCTCCCTCGTCTAGTGGTTTAGGGTTCCTTCCCTCCTCACATCCTTCACCTGAGCTGTATTCCCTTCAGTCCTTTCCAGTCCCCAAACCTCATGCCCTCGAGAGCTAGAAAGGGCTCATCTCACTAGTCCCTCTTTTGACAAATAAGGAAACCATCCTTCAGAAGTTGTAGTGCTCTTTGTCAGATGTCTGGAGGCTAAATATCCCAAAACTTTTCACAAGATGAGCCAGGGGCCTCCCCAGCTCCTCCAGACTCAGGGATCAGACCAGAGTCCTGTCTCCTGTCTGCACTGCCTCCTGCCCCTCATAACTTTGGTCTTGTTTCTACAGCAATCTCAGCCTCCTTTGCATGTCTCTTTTTGTACTATGTATCCTCTTCTGAGACATATCACCTTCCTCCAGGTCAAGGAAGGAGTAGCTAGCCTTCAGTTTCACGACTTCTGGGCTGATGTCTGTTCTGCCTTTTCCCAGTTCACTGACTTGCCCATTCCCACAGCTGTCTCCAGCTTCTCTTTCTAGAGAAGCCTCAATGATCAGGACCGAGGGCCCTCCCTCTGCTGCCATCTTTTTTCTCCTGCCTCAACCCTCTTGAATATCCCAGCTTCCTCAGCCTTGGAAATAGGCTTTATCTGACTCTTCACCTGAATTGACCTTCTCCCTTCCCACTCCCCAGGTTCGGACAAAGGATCACCGCTTTGAAAGTGTCAGTCACCTCATCAGCTACCACATGGACAATCACTTGCCCATCATCTCTGCGGGCAGCGAACTGTGTCTCCAGCAGCCTGTGGAGCGGAAACTGTGACCTGTCCCAGTGCTCTCTCAGAAGATGCCCTGCGGTCCCTTCCACCCTATTCCCTGACTCTTAGGACCTCACTTGGGAGTGTTCATGGGCTTGGCCTTGTGTAGGACTGGGGATACTGTGGACACCGGGTTCAGCATGCAGCTGAGTGAGAGGGTTTGAGTCAGGAACCAGGGGTGGAGTCCTGCTTCTCCCCAGACCTCACCAAAGTATTAATGTACAGAGTGGCCTCCTTCCCTGGGCCTTTCCCGTGCCAACTTGATACCCCCTTCCCCAAGGTGGGTGCTGGAGGCCTGGGCAGGATGCCTCCTGGTGATGGAAGATGTTCTGTGGTGATAGGCCCTGCGGAGCAATCACCCTTCCAGGGAAGGGGAACTGAATCATACCTTTCGTCTACCCCTGGGCTCAGGGTACCCCAGACTCCTCTCAACAACCCTCCCTCCCAGCGTTTAAACTTTGTGCCTTTGACCATCTCCTAGGTCTGAAGATATTTTATGCAAAGAGTTCTTGGGCCCCTGAAGTCAAGGATGGGGGTGCTGACAGCTTCTTGGCTTCTGGGACCCCGTCCTGTCCTTGCTCAGCACCTCCTCGAGTTCAGGTGGGGCAAACCGAGGCAGGAGTAGCAGCTGCCCCTCTTCCTGGGATATGCAGCCCTTAGAGACTGCCTCAGAGCCCAGCTCTCAGCCAGGGAGGAGATGGGCCCCTCCCTTGCTCAGTGCCTCCTGGCCGGGGCCCCTCACCCAGGGCTCTGTATATACATTTCGTAAGCCCACCCCTCCCATGTTGCATGCATGTTACACTCTACAGCCAAAGTACAGCCCTTCCTCCTGGCCTCTGTCCTGCCAACCCCCTGCAGGGGTGGTGGGGGGATGATGGAGCTGTCATCCCAGCAGGATTTTGTAGAGGTGGGAACAGGGGCATTGAGACTTTAAAGCAGTAGACAATCCCCAGATACCATCCGTAGGTTTGGAACTGCGTTTTTTATTTTATATGCGTATATTTTAGGGCTGTAGATTTACTTTCCTAATTTGTTTTCCATAGCTTATTCCTGAGCACAAAATGATAATAATCGATGAAATTTATACATCACCTCTTTGACTTTTTCAAAGCCCTTTTACGACTATTGGCATTTTCCTCACCCCGACCTGTGGGGCAGTTGGAACCGGTAGCATTATCTTTTCTACGAGAGACCCAGAGAAGTGGAGTGTAAGCTAGGACTAGAGAAACTTGGCTCTCCCACCTTGGGGTGGGGAGGCAGAAGTTTGGCTGTTAGTTTCACAAGAGGCGGGGGGGTCACGGGGTCACGGTTATTGAATCCCTTCTCCCTTCTCCAGGCCACTCCCTGCAGCAGCAACAGAGGAGCCGGTCCTGCTCTGTCTTTAGGCCTTGTAGATAAGGGAGAGTGGACTATCTAAATCCTCGCCTCCCTTTTTTTTTTCTTTTTGTTTGGATGTTTTCACGGGTCTCACTTATACCAAAGGGAAAGAATCATTAAAGTCCATATTTCTTCTACCTCGGCCTCTAGATCTCTGTCTCAGCTTATTGTTGGCTCTGGGCGCCCCCCACGGCAGGAGGGGAGGCGGGAGGCCGGACTCGGACTCGGCCTCACCTGGACTCGCTTGGGTCGGGCTCGAGTGAGAACTTAGGGATTCGCGTAGGAGGGTGCGGCGCGGTGGGGCGTGCGGGGCCACCGTCCCAGGGGATGTTCGTGTCTGCAGCGGGGACCGAGGCGGGGTGGGATCGCGGACAGCATGACCCCAGGCGGCTCGGGCCAGCGTGCACCCCTGCGGGGGCCCCTCGGCCCGGGATGGTACGGCCCAGCCGCAGGGCCTCGGCGGCCGTCTCCCCTAGCGAGCCGGCACGCCGCGCTCCCGGGCTGGAGACGGCCTCCCCCAGGCTTGCACTTTGGTACGGCCCAGCCCGCCCAGCGCTCGGGGGAGGGTCTGCCCTGGGCCTCGCTCCCCCTCCTCGCCGAGCGCAGTGGTGGCTGCCACGCCGAATTCCGCTTCCTGTGGCTGCGGCCGCTGGCGGGCGGTGAGGCCGGGCGAGCGTGCAGTTGGCGCCGCGGCTCGGCACCCCCGCCTCGCCGCACCTCGGGTTTGCTGCTGCGCGGGGGTCTGCGCCGCCCCTGCCTTCCCTTCTGGGCCATGGTGCAACCCGAGGGCGCGTCCGTCCCCCGCCGCTGCTGACCCGGGTCCCCCACTCCATGGCCGCCTCGGCGCCGCCCCCACCGGACAAGCTGGAGGGAGGTGGCGGCCCCGCACCGCCCCCTGCGCCGCCCAGCACCGGGAGAAAACAGGGCAAGGCCGGTAAGAACGCGGAGGGGGCTGGGGCTGGCGAGGCTCAGAACTCTGGGACCTTGGAGGGAGGGCTGGTGGGCTGGGGAGGTGGCGGTTCTCAGGCTGAGGGCCCTGAAGATGGGAGGCTCAGTGGAAAGGATAGATGGGTGAAGCCCTCCAGGAGTTGGGGATGAGGGTCACTAACTGCCGATCCTAGAGTTTGGGGCACCTGGAATGAGGAGCCACTTGGGAGTCTGAGGCTATCAAGAGATGGGGGCGTCTCTCATTTAAAGGAAAAGGCAGCCGAGAGTGTAGCATCCCATTTATTCTTCATAGTGTACCTTTGTTAGTATCTAACAAAGTAGATACTAAGTAAGTAAACAAAAGTATATTGAAGTTAGGAGAGTCTCCTAGATCATGGTTGGGAGAAAGGATGTTGGGGAAACCTCAGGGAAACTTGTTTGTGTCTGCCTTTTACTGCCTTTCCAGGTCTGCAAATGAAGAGCCCAGAAAAGAAGCGAAGGAAGTCAAATACTCAGGTGAATGGTGGTTGGTTGTGGGGGTAGTTTCTGGTAGCCCCTTCGGGTTCTCTGTTCTGCCACCCCGATGTCTTCATCTTGCATCAGCTGCAGGGAGAAGAGAAAGTTGTCTTATTCCTTTTCTGGTCCTTTCTTTCAGCTTTATAACATTTTGGGAGTAGGGTGGGGAGTGGTGATTTGACCAGAGATTTTATCGGCGGGGATTAGAGTCGTCCTCTCCCCTTTTTGTCCTGCTCCGGTTCCCCCACGATGATAACAGCTATCAGTTGCTGAACCTTTTCTAAGTACCAGGGATTGTGCTAAAAGGCTTCAACAGTTTTGGGAGATAGGCATTGTCACAGTTTTACAGATGAGAAACCTGAGGCTTAACCATGTTCCATGCCTGCTCCAGGGCTTTGAGGTTACTCAGTGTCAGAACTAGGATTCCAGTGTAGTTCTGCCTGTTTTCAAAACAGTGACTGCACCGTGTTGGTTGTGCTCTCCATTCTGTTTTGTTGTTGCACTCTTAAGATCCATCTGAACTGGCCGGTACCAGCCTCTAAAACTGTGTACTGTGTTTCTGGTGCTCTCGGTTTAGCTCTGGGTCTCCCTCCATGATCCTCTTTCCCTCATCTTTTTCCCCAGGGCCCTGCGTACTCGCACCTGACGGAGTTTGCACCACCCCCAACTCCCATGGTGGATCACCTGGTTGCATCTAACCCTTTTGAGGATGACTTCGGAGCCCCTAAGGTGGGGGGCGCAGCCCCTCCATTCCTTGGCAGTCCCGTCCCCTTTGGGGGCTTCCGTGTCCAGGGGGGCATGGCAGGCCAGGTACCCCCAGGATATGGTACTGGGGGTGGAGGAGGTCCTCAGCCTCTTCGTCGACAGCCACCCCCTTTCCCTCCCAGCCCCATGGGCCCTGCTTTCAACATGCCCCCCCAGGGCCCTGGCTATCCACCCCCAGGTAACATGAATTTTCCCAGCCAACCCTTCAACCAGCCTCTGGGTCAGAACTTTAGCCCGCCTGGTGGGCAGATGATGCCAGGCCCAGTGGGGGGATTTGGCCCCATGATCTCACCCACCATGGGACAACCTCCCAGAGGGGAGCTGGGCCCCCCTTCTCTCCCCCAACGCTTTGCCCAGCCAGGGGCCCCTTTTGGCCCTTCTCCTCTCCAGAGACCTGGTCAGGGGCTCCCCAGCTTGCCTCCCAACACAAGTCCCTTCCCTGGTCCGGACCCTGGCTTTCCTGGCCCTGGCGGTGAGGATGGTGGAAAGCCTTTAAATCCCCCTGCACCCACTGCTTTTCCCCAGGAGCCCCACTCGGGCTCCCCGGCTGCTGCTGTTAATGGGAATCAGCCCAGTTTTCCTTCAAACAGCAGTGGGCGGGGTGGGGGCACTCCAGATGCCAACAGCCTGGCACCCCCTGGAAAGGCAGGTGGGGGCTCAGGACCCCAGCCTCCCCCAGGCCTGGTGTATCCATGTGGTGCCTGTCGGAGCGAGGTGAATGACGACCAAGATGCCATTCTGTGTGAGGCCTCCTGCCAGAAGTGGTTCCACCGTGAGTGCACGGGCATGACTGAGAGCGCCTATGGGCTGCTGACCACCGAGGCCTCTGCTGTCTGGGCCTGCGATCTCTGCCTCAAGACCAAGGAGATTCAGTCTGTCTACATCCGCGAGGGCATGGGGCAGCTGGTGGCCGCTAACGATGGGTGATGCTGGCGAGGGGCCCAGGGAAGTGCACATGTTCCTCCCTGCTCTTCCAGGGTGATTGCCTTCTTGTCTGGCTCTTGGTCCTGGTTTCCATCGGCTTCCCATCCCCATGGGGCAGAAAAAGGAACTGAGGTGGGCAGGCAGAAGAGCCTGTATCTCTCACTCTTGTGGAAACTTACGCATTGAGATCTACACAGGTTCAGGAAACCAAAGCCCTGCCAAGCAGAGCCACTTTTGGTGGCTATCTCTGGAAAGCCAGGGGTATGGCTGCAAGAGGAAAGAGGCTGGAGAAGATCCAAAGGGCAGGGGTGTCTCCTCTACAGATGATGGATGCCCCCAACACCTGTGCCTAACATGCCTCTCTAGCTCCCCAGCTCCAGCCTTAGTGTTTGGAGTCCAGTATTAAAGGTTTCTGGCCAGGAGAGTTGGGGTCTCTTCCCATCTCTGCGGTAGCCCTTTCATGGGCTCTGGGAGATAGCTTTAGGGAATAAATGGAGATTTTCCCCTTTTCCTACCTTCCCCTTGTCTCCTTCACCTGTCCAACTCGTCCCCCTTCAGAAACCAAATAGCTTGAAGAAGCAGGATAGTACGTGGCTATGGCAGTTCTTGGTGATCTGGGGCTTGGAGACAGTAGGTAAGATGCTGTCAGGACATATCTCCCTCATACCAAAGTCACTGGTCCTTTCTCAGCCTCTCTTGTGCTTTTTCTCTAATGACCATATTTTTGCCAAAAATTGGGATGTGTGGTCTGAGAGACCAGAATATTTGACATTCAGACTGTCCTTGGAAGCCCAGATTCTGTGGTTGTACACCCCTCCTCCCCACCTAAGCGCTGGTCTTTAACTTCTGGCCTCAAGTTCCCTGCCTTGCTGGAAGGAAAGCTTGAAAAGGCACAGAGCCCTTATACCTCATTTTTTCTCCTGAATAAAGGATCCCTGTCAGAGCCTGTGGGTGGGGAGTCTGCAGGAGCCTCATTGCTGCGGTACTAGAATGCAGTCCCGAGCCTGGATGTTTTTGCTCCCCTCTCTTCCTGCTGTTCTATCTTCTCTGGCCTGGTGATCGGGCTGTTCTCATCCTTCTCAGCCAAAATCCGTGCCAGGGCGTTATTTTTTATGTTTTAAGCACTGCCTGCCAGAGATGGGCCTGGGGCCCCATAAGGAGCCCCTCACAGCTGCACGCTCTTCCCTGCAGCTCCTGCACACGTTCCTCAAGTTGGGGGGTGGGGGGGGAAGGCAGGCTAGGGGTGTGGCCCTGCCCCCACTTCTCCTGGGACCTTATACATGTGAAGAGAAGACAGGTATACTGCAGAACTCTTGTCTTTCCCGGGTGGAGCATGCAGCCTTCCAGGCTGTGTGAAAGAGGGGAGTGGCCTCTGGGCTTCTCTTTTCCAGTGTTTCTGCCATCCAGCAGCAGAGATGGCAACCCCCTCACTGCTCAACTTTGTGTTGTGTTTGTGGTTCTGTTTGCCCCTCTTTTTATCTGTTGATGTTTTTGTGGTCTCCCCCCCTCACACACCCTGCATTTTGTAAGATGGCTCCTGGCCAGGGATTGGGGGTGGGGGTGTCTGGTCAATCCCTCCCTCTCATGCCACTGCCTTTTGGAAGAAAGTGGGGGCGGCAGAGATGTGGTGGGGAAAGTTTTGTACGGTTGGATTAATAAAATGACTTGGAAGATCCACAGCTGGACTCCTTGGTGTTGGTGTGCACAAGGTTGGAATGAGTCAGTCACTGTTCGTGAGGATGGTTGGGGGGTGAGGACAGGGAACCCCCAGGGTCTCTGGAAGTGGCCATGGCAGGAAGAGTCAAGCCCCTGACCTGACCTAATACAAGCGGTGGAGCCTGGGGAGGCGTCTTTGTCCCACCTCTCCCTGTTTCCCTGCTGTGAGAAACAAGTTTCCTTTCTGAGCACATTCCTGGGCCAGGCCTAAAGCCAAGCAGGATCTTCGGCTCCAAGGCTTCAGGGTGACAGTTGCCATTAGTGCTTCTCGGTGTAATGCCCCACTCCCACTCCTGAGTTAGGGGGTCATGTGTAGCTCCAGGGGTGGGGGAAGGGGCTGCCCTGGTCTAGTGGATTGCATCTTAGGATGCTTTAAAGCCCCCCACCTACCGCCCCTTTTAAGGACAGAATAGTGGCATCCTGAAACCATCAGCGCCAGGATGAGGATAGGGACAACCCGCACTTTGCCACTCTCCTCCCCCATCATGCAGCTGTCTCTTGTCTATCCTGGGACCAAGCTGGCTGCTTGTCCTGGACATGCCACCCCCTTGCCTTTCAGTTCTGGGTCTTCCCTTCAGGAATTGTTTAGCCACTGGAAAAGGAGGGGAGGTGACCCCCAGTTGAGTTTGCTGGAACCCCAGTGTCCCTCCGGGAGGTAAGCCCAGGTTTAGGGGTTCTGCAGGCGCCCCGCACCCCCGCGGCTCTCAAGTCTAGCCGTTATTGGCCAAAAGTTTCCGCCCCCTCAGGGAAGTTGACTTTCCATTGGTCAGCCCTCAGTCACGTGACCTTCCTTTCTTGTGGCTCCCAGAGCCGGAGAGGCAGCTCAAGTTCAGCTGAAGACTGAAGCAAGAGCTGGGTCAGGTAATGCCCTAGCGGGGCAGGGGCGACAGAGGCCCCCGGGAGAGCAAGGGAGGAGGAGGAAGGGTAGAACGTTGACGGGTTGAGCTCCACCCAGGATCGATAGAGCTGTTTGTCACTTCTGGGCCGGGAGGGAGGGGGATCATGGGCCGTTTCCAAAACAGGAACTTGCTCTGGGTCTCCCAGACAAGTTTTTGTAGCCCCGGGTGCTTTATTTTAGAGGTTTGGGGGAACAGCTCTTAGAGGGGTTGAAATTAGCTGGACGACACTTTCCCAGTGGCAGAGCTCCCCCTTTAGCTGTCTTTTGGAAATAGCACAAGTCCCTGACAGTCCTTACAGGATGTTTTTGTTGAATCTTGCCTGAAGAAAGGAGAGGGAGTAGTGAGGAGGGGGTGGAGGTGGGTGTTCTTCCAAGAGGTTGATGAGAAGAAAGAGATCTGAAAGCAGCAGGGAAGGGTGGGAATTAGACAGCAGAAAGAACTTCCTAATAAGGCAGTGAGATGCTGGCCTGGGGGGAACAGGGAGAACTTATGGGATCTTCAGTGAATCCAACCAAGAGAGAGGTACCAACCAGGGTTTGGAACCCTGAGTGCAGAGGTTCTGGACTGTATTCTGTTTGGGGCTCAGAAGTGTTTGTCTTGTTGACCCAAATACCGTTTCTGGTTTCTATGGAGACAGTCGGTCTGACATCACCCTGGTTGCCATAGTGCCTGCTTCTGGAGGACCTGAGCAGGCTATACACAGCCAGGGGTAAACAGGGACTTTAGCCCAAGCTGCTGCCACTTCCTTCCTGCTGCCACCTGTTAAGAGTCACATGCAGCAACTGGGGATGGGGAGATGATGACAGAGTAGCGAGGGTGGGGCCTGAGACCAGAAGGCAGCAATGTAATGGTTCTGTGGATGCCGTAGAGGCTGGCCAGGGGTGTCCTGCTGGACTGTGGTGTGGGGAAGTCATTGCAGCCTTTCTTCTATCTCCTTGTGGGATGAGTGCCTGTCTCTGGGAGGCACTGTGTAGGACTCCCACGGTGTCCTGCTGAAAGGGGGAAGTGTAGTGGTTTCCCAAAGTAGAACTGCCTCGCTTCTTCCCCAGCCTTACTTCCTCTCCCCAGGATTTCCTTTCAGGATCCTTTTCCACTTACCATCCTTCTAGCCCCTCAGCAAGCAGTCATGTAGCCTCTAAAGGATCACACTCCAAGACCAGGGGCTCAGCTCATCTCCCCCTCAGCTTTATGCCAGGTCCTGGTTGCCAGCCCGGGGCGATAATGTTGGTCACGGAGGGAGGGGTAGGTCCTTCTCTTCTAATCCTGCTTTGTGTCAGGCTTTTGAAGCTGGAGTGATTTCCCACCCCTACTCCACCATGTCAGAGCAGATTAGCAGGAAATAGGACCACAACCCTGGTTGTTGTCCGTGCGTTGCAAATGGTAAAGTGCTTTCTGTATACATGGTAGTTGCCACAAATCCCTTTTCCTAGTCACCTTCAAGTTTCCTCAGATGAAACGCTGGAGTTTGCTAAGAAGGGAAACAAGAATGGAGAGTGACAAGGACATTTACCAGAGGCACATTCAGATGGATGTAAGCTGTGCCATTGCGCTCAACCCTGGCTGCTTGTGAGACTCATTTGGGAGATTGTTCGGAGCCTGAGCCTGATCCTTGAACTCAGTTATATCAGAACCTTAGGTGATTGATTCCATTGTGTAGCCAGTGAACAGGACCCCAAACTAAACCATACAGAGGACTTAATGGTGGGTGATGGGTTGGTGGGAGACTTGTGGCTGACGAAGACCATCGACTTTTCTCTTCCAGGCCCTGGGGGAGGAGGTGGGATTGTGATGGAGCCTGGGGAGGTGAAGGGAGGGCCAGATTGTTCCTCACTCTTCTCACTTGCTATTCATCGCTGGCAAGCCAAGTCAGCCAGTTTTCAGGCCTTCGTTTTCCCTGACTATAACATGAGAGAGTTGGCCTGGATTTTTCCCAGAGCTTTTCCAGCTCTGTGCTTCTCTGACCTTTCAAGGTCAGTTCTATTTCCCAGATTCCCAAGGGCTCTTTTAGTCCCTGGGAAAGGCAAACTTCACTGCAGCTGTTGGTAGGTTCTGATTTGCAAGGCAAATACTGCCCAGAAGAATTCGGATCTTGGGGGCAGAAGGACTGGAACCGGGCTGATTCTGGAAGTGACTGGCCAGCCCTCACACTTGGAACCCAGCTGAGGCTGCTGTCTGTATCCCACCTCCCCCAAAGGGAGCTGGAGTCCCTAAGAGAGCCTTTCTCTGCAGGTGGCAGCCTCAGCAGCTGCGGGAACCTCAGCAGTGATGGCCTCTTGCCCAGACTCGGACAATAGCTGGGTGCTTGCCGGCTCAGAGGTAGGAAGAGCAGGCCTGGGAACCATATGGAATGGGGGTTCTGGCTGGGCCGGGCTACTTTCTGGGTCTGTCCCCCTTCCTTGCTCCTGGTGATCACACTTGTCACCTCCTGTCGGCTGTGAGAGGAACTCCAGGGGCAGGGAGAATACGATCAGGCCCCAGGAGTCAGGAGTTGGAACTTGGGCCGTGACTTGAAAGAAGGGAATTGTTGGGGTAAGCTATGAGAAGCAGAGGAGAAATTCTGGGGGGGTGACCAGCATTAGCAAAGGTCCTGAGGCAGAAGTAGAGGAGCTGTGCTGGGGAGACTGAGGAGGTCCGTTGGAGGAGGTGGAGACATGGGCCAGATGGTGTTGAAGTGAGGCTGGGTCAGAGCCTGCGAGCCTCCGGACGAGGCCTATAGGGCCTGGCTCAGGCATTCGGGCCTCCCCTTGATGGAGAATAGCGGGCGGGCTCTGAGCCGGAGGGGGTCAGGACCATCTGCGGTGGGCAGAGGATGCAGCCACTATGGGGGCTGTGTGGGAACAGGGGAGAGCGTTTTGAAGGTCCTACAGTCCAGGTTGTAGTTGGTGGGATGAGAGCCTAGTGGGCTTCTGTGCCCCAAAGCCACTGAGAAGGGGGCTGGCAGGATGGGGGATGGAGTGGCTGGAGAGTTTGTCAAGGAGAGTTTGTCAAGGACTTGGTATGTTCGTCCCACAGGGAGGGAGGTAGCTGAGGAGTTTGAGTTAGAGACTAGGGTTTGGGTGGCCTTGAAAACTGATGGGGAGGGAGGGAGCTGCCCTCAGTGAGATGCTGGAGCAGGACCCACGGGCTGGGGCTGGCTGGCGGAGCGGACGACACCGTGCTCCCAGCCAGAGCCCTGGCTGCCTTTGCAGACAGCTGGGGGAACTCGGACCAGCTGTTTCGCCTCGGTGTCCTACCTTTAATGAGGCGGAGTCGTGTTTCTTGCCTTGTAGGAGGGACTGTGAGAAAAAGGTGACTTGAAAATTGTAGACTTCCCTGGCGGTCCAGTGGTTAAGACTTTGCCTTCCAACGCAGGGGCGGGTACAGGTTAGATCCCTGTTCCAGAAGCTGAGATTTCCACATGCCTTGGGGCCAAAAAACCCAAACATAAAACAGAAACCGTATTGTAACAAATTCAGTAAAGACTTTTAAAATGGTACACATTAAAAAATCTTTTTTTAAAAAAGAATCCTGTAAAGAAACATATTAAGGTCAAGAATTATTCTTGGAAGTTTAGCGAGAGCCATGGATGGGATGAGCAGGCCGTGGGCCTGCTGAGGGGGCGTTTGCAGAAAAAGGAGAGGCTGAGGCTGTAGACGGATGGGCTGAGAGCACCCTGGGAGACAGGCTGGCTGTGGCTGGGGTGAGGTGGGCTTCCGTTAGCTCCTGGGAGAGGGGTGTGCAGGGAGCGGGAAAGGCCAGAAAAGTTTGGAAGATCGAGCAGGTGGCCCCTTATGTGGAGAACTGGGGAAGCCCGTGGGGGATGGGACTGTGATCCTTAGGCTCCAGGGGACTTTGTTCTCTTGCCAGTTACTGAGTTGGTCACTTGTGGGGAGGGAGACCCAGGCTGTAGCTGGCTTCTCTGGGGAGGAGGTGGTGGGGTGCCAGGTTTGTTCAGTGGTCCAGTGCCTTGGGCCAGTGGTACTTTTTTTTTTAATTTGGTTTATTTTTTGTTTGATTACTTTATTTTTTTTTTTTGTTTGTTTTTCAATTCCATGTCCTCCCATTCACCATACAGACCAGGCAGAGTGCCTGCCCAGGCTGTATGTGGGGTGGGTTTACTCTGACTCCTGTTTCTATACTGTCAGTGTAAGAACACAGCCTGTACCAAGTACCAGGAGGCTGAAGTTAATTAATTTTTAACCTAATCCTGTAAATATAGGATTCCTTTAAAAATAACATTTACTTGTTTTTTTTGGCTGTGCTGGGTCTTAGTTGTGGCATGCGGAATCTAGTTTCCTGACCAGGGAACAAACCCTGGCCCCCTGCATTGGGAACGCTGAGGACCACCAGGAAAGTCCTCAGGGGTGCGTCTTCATTTCACAGAAATTTGGCCTCTGAAAGTTCCTCAGAGCAGCAAGTGAAGTTAGGGAATGGCCGAACATTGTGTCGAGCGGAGATGTCACAGTGCCAGCTGACCCCTGCCCCCTCCCCACTTTGGAGCAACCACTGCTGAATGTATTATGTATTTGTAAGATGTGGGCTGGGATCCCTGAACACTATGGCTGGTCTCAGGCACCCCAGGAGAGCACCCCGTGCTCTTGGCTTCGTCCTGCTGTCCTTCCTCTAGAGCATCCCTTCTACTTGCACCCCTGCCCCCAGAGCCTGCCTGTGGAGACCTTGGGCCCTGAATCTGAGATGGACCCAGAATCTGAGAGAGCTCCCCGGGCCCCTCGGAGCCCCTCCAAGGCAGCTGCTGAGGAATCAGCTGAGACTTTGAATGGAGGAGGTAACAGGGCCCTGCTGAGGGGGGCGGTGTCCCCGGTGTTCTGGGGTTTCCCAGTTTCCTCAGGGAGAGGGAGGCCAGTTGGTCTTATTCCCAGCATTGATCTCAGTTTAAAACCTTCCTTTATCCCATCCTGGCTTTCTCCTGTCCCTTCCTGCCTGGTCGCAGCCTGTGGGAGCCAGGGAGCTGTGTTGTATGTTCAACTGGGAGGGGGGGGCCGTGGTGTTTTTCCTGAGTCTTTTCTCCCACCACAGAGACTGTGTCCCAGGGTGAGAGCTCCCAATCTGGGTCCATCCTGTCAGAGGAGGCTGAGGCCAAGGTGAGCACCTTCCCTGGGGGAAGGGTGGGAAGTGGGGAGGGCCGGGGACGTGGGAAGCGCTCACAGCTGTGTCTGCAGCAGGGTGTCCTGGAAGGTGATGACCCTGGAATGGAGACCTCTGGCCCAGGAGACACAGAGGCCCGGGGAGACCTGGAGGAGACCCCTGAGGTGGTAGGCCTGGAACCGGACTCGCAGGACCTGGAGGATCAGAGTCCCCCCCGCAGCCTGCCTTCATCCCCCAACACAGGTGAGAGTCCTCCTGGTTTCCCCTGTCACTATCCTTCTAGAAGGTGTTGGACTGGGAATAGGTAGACATCACTGCCGAGCACAGCTCTGGTCCAGGTCCTAGGACTCGGCAGCTTGGAGCCTTCCTTAAGCTGTGTCTGTGAATCCTCACCACCGTCACCCCTGGGGACACTCGGGTGTAGGTTAAGTCACACAGCTGATAAGTGGCAGGGCCTGGGTCTGATCAGCTCTTTCCTCTCTACTGTGGGGCCTCCTCTTTACTCGCCTCTAGATTTGGCTCTCATCCCCTGAGTCCCTCGCATGAGTCAGCTCTGGGAAGGCAGGCTGGCTTCACGGCCTGTATAAGAAGTGGACTAGGCCGAGCCAAGGGGCAAGTCAGACTTGTGAGGGTGCAAAGGTGGTGTGATTAAGGGGCCCCCTCAGGAACGGGGGAGGGTGGTTTAGTCAGGGGACAGGTCGAGGGGAAGGAGGAGGCAGGGACAGTTGGGGAACAGGTTCACACCGGAGGTGACATTTGAGTGGAAGCTTGAGCAAAGAGTGGACTCTTGGTAGGTAGGGTAGGAGGAAGACAACGTGCAGGCCAAGGCTGTAGCATCAACAAAGGGCTGGGTTCCCCTGTCCTGTACTGAGGAGGCTGCGTCCAAGGCTGGTGGCAGAAGTGTGAGAATGCATCTCTGTTGAGGGGTGACAGGGTGGAGGGGGAGGCAGGGTCTGGGGCCATTTAGGGGGCAACTGCAGTCAGACGAAGCTGAGGAAGACCTGAACTAAGGCGGAAAGGGGCATGTGCCGCTGAGATGGTGTGTTGTCAGACTGTGCATGGGAGGTAAAGAGGGAGGGCTGAGGTTGGCTACTGGAGCAGTGGCGTCTTGCCCTGCATTGGGGGTGCGCCAGGAGAGAACCAGCTTGGGGAGCAGTGTGTTGAGTGGTCGGTCCCCAGGGACAGCCAGGTGGACGTGACCAGGAGGTGGTCAGACATCTGGGCCTGGAGCTTCTAGGGAGGCCAGTCGGGAGCTACGGATGAGGGACTCAATCCTCTCTGGGGGGAAGCCGGTGGGGTGGATGAGAGTGGGTGATTGTGTGTGTGGTGAGAAGAGCAGAAAAGCAGAAATGGTGCCAGGGAGACCTCTGCCTCTAGGACCGGGAGCAGCCAGGCGTTGAAAGGAGACACTGAGAGGGCGTGGCCAGGTTTCCGACAGAACCAGGGCAGGAGGCACAGGTGGGGGGGGCGGCGCTTTTAGGATGAAGGTTGCTCTTGTATCTTGTTTGTAGTAGAAAGGACTGGTCTTCAGTCTGGGCAGGGGTAGTCACTGATGCCCAAGCACGTGTGGGCAGGGTCTCCATGTGCTCCCTCTGTGATCACGGCTGGGGGTCTCCTTTGTTTGCCTCTGGTTCTGGTCTGTCTGTCTGTCCATCTCTCCAGTTGCTTTACTGCCCTGTCCCCCTCCCTACCCCCAGCTCAGATCAGGGAGGAGGCCCACCGCTCCAGCACCGAGGAGGACGACACCAATGTGGATGTGGAGGGTCTGCGGAGACGGCGGGGCCGGGAGCCCGGCACTCCTCAGCCCGCGGCCACCCTGGGTGTGGAGAGCCAGGGCCAGGGCGAAGGTGCAGGCGGGGAGCTGGGCATCTCCCTCAACATGTGTCTCCTCGGGTCCCTGGTTCTGCTGGGCCTGGGGATCCTCCTCTTTGGTGAGTGGTCCCTCCCCCGCTGGCACCTTGAGCCTCTGCTCTGTCCCCTCTTGCAGCACTCTGACCCCATTCTGCCCCTGCCTCTGTCTCCATTTCAGGTGGCCTCTCAGAGTCTGAAAGTGGTGAGTGAGGATGGGCCCTGACTGGTTTGTGTCTCTCCCCTTCCAGCCCTGCGGGAGGCTTATGGGGGCAGTTCCCTGGGTCAGGAGTAGGGATGCTGGGGGCTGTACAGTTTTTGCTCGGATATAGGCCTTATGTCAGCTATTCAGGGTGACCCTTGACCTTTTACCTTGCTGGACCCCTCAGCCCTAGGGCAGGGTCCAGTGCAGGACAGCGACTGTGTGTGTGTTGGGGGGGCAGGGAGGGGGAGGAGGAGAGGGCGCTGTGTGCCTGGAGGCCAGTTTCAGGATTCCACTTTCCCACAGGGCCCCTGGAGGGAGTAGACCTGCAGGTCTTGCCAGATCCGGAGTCTGATGCTGAGATGCTGGAGGCTGTGGGGGATGGGCAGGCATGTGTGACTGTCTCTCTCTGTGCCAGGGGCCTGGTGGGGGCTGTCTGGGTTGTGGGGCTGGGCTGGGGTGACTGGCTCCTTTGCCCTTGTGTGTGTGTGTGTGTGTGTATGTATGTTAGTTGCTCAGTCGTGTCTGACTCTTTGAGACCCCATGGACTGTAGCCCGCTAGGCTCCTCTGTCCATGAAATTCTCCAGGCAAAAATGCTGGAGTGAGTAGCCATTCCCTTCTCTTGGGATCTTCCCAACCCAGGGATCGAACCTGGGTCTCCCACACTGCAGGCAGATTCTTTACTGACTGAGCCACCTTTGCCCTCAGGATGGACTACAGCAGCTACAGACCTCAGAGCTCCTGGACAGTGTGCCCAGCCTGCAGAACATGGCCCTTCTGCTGGATAAGCTGGCCAAGGAGAACCAGGACATCCGACTACTGCAGGCCCAGCTGCAGGTGGGCACAAGCAGGATGGGGTGGGCTACACACCCTCCCTAGGCCATGTGTCTGTCTGTCCAGTTTCCTCCCCCCAGAGAAGTTTCCTGTGTTCACCCACATACCCTGACCCCCTCCCTTTCCCACTAGAGTCCAGTCATCTTCCTTGTTTTGTTCCTGTCCTGCATGCTAAGGGTTAGGCCAGGACTGGCATATCTGCGTCATGTGGCATGCCACCTCTGCTTGATTGGCATGGCCTACCTGGAGCCTTGTGTGGAGAGGGATTTGAAGAACATGCAAAGACTCAGTGGGAAAGAAGTGCTGTGATCAGTTAATAATATCTGTTCTGGGTATGGGAGATGGAAATAGGGCAATGAGAGCCATATCTTGGCTCTCTTTAGGTGAATTAAAGAAGTGTGGGCTTATAAACAGATAGAGCTAAGGCCTGTGGTGGAATTTGGGGATCCCAGGGTCTGGTGAAAGGTGCAGATGGGCTGGGAGATGAAAACCAAATCCTCTGAGTCTCTCAGGCCATAAAGGCTATGATGGAATAGAATTAGGGTAGCAGGCACTGGACTTATCCTTGATGACTCCCTGGGCCCTCTATCCCTACTCCCACTTCAGGCCCAGAAGGAAGAGCTTCAGAGCCTGATGCATCAGCCCAAAGGGCTAGAAGAGGAGAATGCCCGGCTCCGAGGGGCCCTCCAGCAGGGCGAGGCCTCCCAGCGGGCCCTGGAGTCAGAGCTGCAGCAGCTGCGGGCCCAGCTTCAGGGACTGGAGGCTGACTGCGTCCAGGGTGCAGATGGGCTATGTCTCCATTGGGGCAGAGGCCCGCAGGCTGGCAAGGTCACCAAGGAGCAAGGCGCTACAGGGCCGGAGCCAAGCCCTGGATTCCTGGAGCAAAAGAAACAGCTAGAGGCTGAGGCCCAGGCATTAAGGCAAGAGTTGGAGCGGCAGCGGCGGCTGCTGGGGTCTGTGCAGCAGGACCTGGAACGGAGCTTGAGGGATGCGGGCCGAGGGGATCCAGCCCAGGCTGGCCTGGCTGAGTTGGGTCACAGGCTGGCCCAGAAGCTGCGGGGCCTGGAGGACTGGGGCCAGCGCCCTGGGGTCCCTGCCAATGTCTCAGAGGCCTGGCATCAGAAGCCTCACTTCCAGAATTCCAGGGAGCGGAGTGGGAAGGAAAAGTGGTGGGATAGGCAAGGGGACTGGAAGACCGAGCACCGGAAACATAAGAAGGAGGTATCTGGCCGGGAGAAGAGCTGGCGGGGTGAGGAGGACAGGGAGCGGGTGGGGAGGTGGAAGGAGGGCAAGCCAAGGGTGGAGGAGTGGGCCAGCAAGAAGGATGGCAAGCGACAGCGTTCCAAGGAGCCCCCCAGGAAAAGTGGGAGCTCCCACCCCTCCGGAGAAAGGCAGAAACACCCTCGGTGGAAGGAAGGAGCTAAAGACAGGCATGACCCCCTGCCACTCTGGGCAGAGCTGTCCGAGCACAAGTACCAGGCACCCCAGGGCTGTTCAGGTGTCCATGAGTGTGCCCGGCAGGAGGGCCTGGCCTTCTTTGGTGTAGAGCTAGCCCCCGTGCAGCAACGGGAGCTGGCCTCTCTGCTGAGGACGTACCTGGCGCGACTGCCTTGGGCCGGGCCACTGACCAAGGAGCTGCCCCTCTCTCCCACTTACTTCGGTGAGGATGGTATCTTCCGCCACGACCGCCTCCGCTTCCGTGACTTTGTAGACGCCTTGGAGGACAGCCTGGAGGAGGTGGCGGTGAGACAAACAGGTGACGATGACGAGGTGGATGACTTTGAGGATTTCATCTTCAGCCACTTCTTTGGAGACAAAGCACTGAAGAAGAGGTGGGCAGCTGTGGGGGAGTTGGGTCAGGGGGACTGAGCAGGGGGCAGGAGGTGATGGTGGGGTGGGGTGTCTGTGTGTGTGTGTGAAGGATTCAGGGCCCTGAGTTGGGGGTGTTCAGTTTGAGGCTTTATCTCCTGAGGGCAGAAAGCTGAGCCTGTGCTCAGCCCAGAGTGGTCCTGGGGAGTCTCCTTTGGGGCTAGAGTTTTTTTCCTCCCAAGTTGCCCTGTGCTGTCCATACTTGTGTGGTCTGGAGGGTAAGAGAGATTGCCTCCCGTCTCCCCAGCTGGGGCCTTGTCCTGGGACACCAGGTCTGGCCACACTCCCCTCCCCCCAGTCTGATGGATGGTGGCTCCCCGTGTCACCTGCCTAGGGTCCCCTCTCAGGGGGCCCGGCTTCTCATCACATGACGTTGTTCTCTAAAGGCCTCTTCCTGCCTCCACTCCCTGCCCCCCTACAGGTCTGGGAAGGACAAACATTTGCAGAACTCCAGAGTTGTGGGGCCCAAGGAGGAGCACAGCCCCCACCGCAGGGGCTGAGGCCCCGCGTTATCTGCCCCCTGGGAACCGTTAAACTGCCACCTCCCTCAGCTCGCTTGGTGTCATTGGATGGCCTTCACAGAGGAGAGTGGAGATCACCGAGCCCTGCACTGATAGCACTTCTGCTACAAAAAGGCCTTAGCTGGAGCTGCTTTGCTGTCTATGCAAATCAATGCAAATTCTTAGGGCCATGACCCTTGCAGCCAGATTGTGAAGGGGGGATGAGAGACAAGCCTGTTTTTTAGGAGGGTAGGGTGGGGGTAAGAGGTATGGGGCAGTTCAGATTCTAAAGCCAGAGAGCTGGTGCGTGTGCGTGTGCGTGTGTGTGTGTTTGTGTGTGTCTGTAGGGGGGCCCCTTGGCTGCACACACTGACCCGTGTACCCTGGGATTCTATTCGCCCGGCTGGCTGGAGGCCCAGCATGAAGGCTTTCCCTGGGGTTTTGTTAGACTTGGAAGGAGCTATCCCTAGGGAATCGAAGTCCCCTTTTTAGCCCTGCTCCTCACGTGGCCTCACCTCTGCTTGTGAACTGTAGACTCAGATTCCAATAAAATTCTGTAGGAGCTGTGACATTGGGTGGAGGCTCTGTCGCTTAGGGCTGTTTATAAGCACAGGGGAAGCCCACACCCATCACCTCATAGGCACTGGTACTCACCTTCTCCCCTCCCCGTCACCTCATCCTCCCCGCAAACCTCAGGCCCTCTGGGCTGGAACTCCCCATTTTGCTCACAGCTGTCTTGGCTGCATCCCTGGGAGATGTAGAAATATGCAAGTGGGTTTTGGGCTCAAATCCAGGTTGAGTGATTTTGGGCAAATCAATCCCTGGGAACCTTGGGTTTCTAATCCCCAAAAAGGGAGATTGAAGGGCTGGGGACTCTTCGAGAAGGATTGTAAATAAATCAATGTAAACAAAATATGTGTCCAATATTTGGCGCTCAGAAGTGATTTCACTCCCTTTAGAGTGGAGAAGGGGCTCCCCACCCCCACCTCACAGCACAGGCTTCTGCGTTGGGTTGAGGGGTGTGTGTGTGAGGGGACCACTAGGTGGCGCCCTGGCTCCACATTTGCTCCAGACCTCGGCTACCTCACTACTAAGCGCCCCGAATCTTGGACCCCAATCCCACTGACTTGGGCCACTCTCTGGCTACTTCTCCCAGGAAGACCCAGATTCCCCCAGGCTTCTCTTTAGAAAGTCCTTCCTGACTGGGCTTCTTGCTTGGCCTGGAAATCCCCTTGCGGGGACAGAATGAATGTGTGACTTCAGGCCAGGTCCAGGGAGTGTGTTAGAGCTGAGGTGTGTTAGTCCCTCAGTCACGTCTGACTCTGTGACCCCATAGACTGTAACCCTCCAGGCTCCTCTTGTCCATGGGATTTCCCAGGCAAGAATACTAGAGTGGGTTGCCATTTCCTTTGCCAGGGGATCTTCCTGACCCAGGGATCGAACCCAGGTCTCTCACATTGCGGGCAGACTCTTAACTGTCTGAGCCACCACGGAAGCCCAGGGTTCTGTCCAAAAGGGGACTGTAATTGATAGCAAGTGCTTCTGTAACACTACAGCTGATGGGTTGCTCACTGTTAAAGGACTTTAAGGGTGCTAGCTTATTTAATTCATGTGTGGATGTGAGAGTTGGACTACACAGAAAGCTGAGCACCGAAGAATTGATGCTTTTGGACTGTGGTGTTGGAGAAGACTCTTGAGAGTCCCGTGGACTGCAAGGAGATCCACCAGTCAATCCTAAAGGAAATCAGTCGTCCTGAATACTCATTGGAAGGACTGATGCTGAAGCTGAAACTCCAATACTTTGGCCACCTGATGTGAAGAACCGACTCATTGGAAAAGACCCTGGTGCTGGGGAAGATTGAAGGCGGGAGAAGGGGACGACAGAGGATGAGATGGTTGGATGGCATCATCAACGCGATGGACATGAGTTTGGGTTCCTGGAGTTAGTGATGGACGGGGAAGCCTGGAGTGCTGCGGTCCACGGGTTGCAAAGAGTTATACATGACTGACTGACTGAACTGAACTGAATTCTAATTGGATGGGGTGAGGCAGGGTGGGGATGGAACAAGGTCCACTCATTCAGCAAACATTTACACTCTGTTGTGTACCAGAGGCAGTGTGGTACTGAGAATACAGAGGCGTGTTAAGGAGTTTATAGTCCAGTGGAGCCCACCTTCTGCAGCATGAGGGATTGCAGTTAGACCTAAGGAAGAACTTCCTCCTAGGCAGAGGGTCAATGAAAAGGGGCTTTAGGAAAGAAGTCTTCTAGAGTGGGGGTCGGGACGAGCAAGTACAGTCTAGCCTGGGGTCTGGATTTGGCATCCTGGCTCTGTGGACCATCATACACCTGAGGAAGCCTCTTTTACTTGGTTCACATTGCTTGCCTTCTGCAGGTGTCAGAACTTATACTTCTTGGAGAGGGAGGCAGGGTAGGTAGGAGGTATGATTCCGTGTCCCAGGAGGGGGAATGTGTTTAGGGAGGGGACACAAACTGGCCCCCTGGGTTCCCAGAGGGTGTGGGCTGCCTGGGGTTTCTCAGTTTCGTTTCTAGGGCCCATTTCCTTCGTTTGCATAACGAACTCTCAAGGAGGCTAGGAAGTTCCCCCAAGCCCCCTCCTCTTTCTGAGCCACTCAGGAAATAGATATGCTGAGCTGGAGGTTTCTGAAACTGCTGAATCAGGAAGAAAAGGCCACGAACCCAGGGGGTAGGTTGGGGAGGGGCCAGGACACGAAGGACATTGGCCATTCTGATTACCCTGTCTCAGGTGCCCCCCGTCAGTGATCCTCCTGCCCATTGTAGGTCACTATGCAACTCCATCACACCCATGCTCCTACAGCAGCGCTGGTAAAGAGTGGGGACCCCGCGTCTCAGATCATAGGGTGCTCGCTGGTTACAGGCACAGCATGTGGAGACAAGCCAAGGGAGGCTGGAGCTGTGGGGACAGAGCTCCCTCCCCACAGGGCCGGGGACAGCTTTTGACCATGCAGGAGGGTAGACCCACTGGACGCTGCCACACGACCTTGCTTGGCCCCCAGGTCTGGCCTGGGCCCTTCCAGTTTAAGCATTTGGGATTTTAAGCACTTGGATTTTCTGCCTTTTCCGCCTCTTCCTATGGGAACTCCCCCAGCTAAGTGCTCAGCTCCGGCATGTCTCGGGGAAATCACTAGAGTCGGGGGTGGCCCTCCTTGGCTTTCCCCTCTCAAGTGGAAAAATTCTGCTTCCTTTGACCATCCCCCAACTTTATTTCCCCGCGGTCCCCCAACCTGCCATTCCTCCCTCCCACCCCTGCCCCTCATTCTTCAGCCTCAGCTCCTTTCCTGCCCTCAGCTCCACCTTCTCTCATCATGCCCCCTCCAGCCCTAACCTCCTCCAGGATCCTTCCCATCTCTTCCTGCTCCCCTGGGTCCTCCAGGCCCCAGTTTCACCCCTGCCTTTTACTCCCACCCATGCTGGGGAGTGGGGGCATGGGGTGGTGGTCACCTTCAGGCCTGCCCCACCCTATAAGTGCCTTGAAGGTCAGAGGCCTGTGGTGCTTTTGAGGACCACACCCAGCACCCTCTGCTGGGCCCCTGGACAGATGCTGGATTGGCAGGCTGTTGCCATGGGAACCTCCCAGGGCCACTGGTGCAGGGACATCTCCTCCTCTCATCTGTTCCGGGTCGTAGATACTCCTGGTCCCTCCACACTTCACCTGCTCACAGAAGGTCTAGCAGGAACTCTGCAGGGTGGGGTGTGTGTGTGGGTTATTGGCCTAAACCCAGACCACATCAGGTCCCTCCTCTCTGCTTTCACCAGTCAGTGGTCAGAGCCACAGAAACCCCCTAGTAGTAATTCTTGGGGGTTGTCCGAGTTCCCTATCCCTCCCCTGTGGACCTTCCCTCAAGGTTGCTGCCCATCACTTTGGTAACCCTCGGCTTCTGGAATAGGCCCTGCCCATATAGAACCAAAGCAGGCCCCTTCCCCGCTCACCTGGTCTTTATCCGGGGCCAGGTGGAGACCCAGCCCAGGTCTCTTCTAACTAGACCGGTGGCCTGGGCCTGCCTGCGGGCCTTCTTGCTTTAGGGCTTGGCTTTCTCATCACTGAAGTGAGCCTGTAGATCCCCCTCATGAGTTGCTGTGATGATGGAATGAGTCATCCAAAGACAAAGGAAAACGCTTTTCAAACTGCAGAGTGCTGTCAAAAGTTTTAGTTATTTTTATTTTACTTAGCCTCTGAGGAGGAAGTTGAGGCCTCTGTGAACTACTAATCTGGGAGCAGAGGGTGTTGGTTCCCAGACTGTGTAGTAGGAGCTGATAGGGGAAAGATGCCAACTAACACCCAAGACCCAACACTGTGCTCCCTGCTGGGAGGAGACCACGGTCTTTGCCCCTGAGGCTAATCAAATGAGTTTATTACCAAGCAGAGAGTTTTTGTTTTTTTTAATAGTTTATGTTTTTAAATTTTAAATAAAAATATTTATTTTTAATTGATTGATGATTGCTTTACAATATTGGTTTGATATCTGTTGCACATCAACATGGATTAACCATAGGCGTCCCCTCCCTCTAGAACCTCCCTCCCACCTCCCATCCCTCTAGATTACTAGGGAGCCCCAGCTGGAGTTCCCTGAGTCACAGCGAATTCCCACTATCTATTTACATATGTTAGTGTAATACCAAGCAGAGTTTTAAAAGTACTCTCTTATCGGTGCCAGGAAGGTGAAGAGGAAGGAGGGGGTGGTGTTTTTTTTGGGGGGGGGCTGCTGCGCTATGTGACATGTGGGATCCTAGTCCCTTGGCCGGGAATTGAACCTGCACTTCCCGCAGTGGAAGCATGGAGTCTTAACTACTGGACCACCAGGGAAGTCCCGGGAAGGGGTGGCCTTTGAGCTGGACCTTGAAGATAATAAGGATAGATGATGGGGAGGGGATTTCAGACGAGGCAGAGGTGAGGCCTTAGGGGAGGGTGGAACAGCCCTGTGGTCAGATGGTGTGAAGTTCCTGTTCCTGTAAGGGAGCAAGTTCTCCCATAGGCCTGCTTGCAAGTCTAAGGGGGAGCGCCACTATAGGAAATGGGGAGAGGCGTGAGGGGCAGGGGGCGTGAAAAGGGAAGACACAGGGGTGCAGGGCAGCTGGCAGGTGGAAGGGTGGACTAGAAAGACGTGAAATCACAGGTAGGTAGGAGGCGTCAGCCAGCAACTCAGGAGGGAGATGATGCAGGCCCGATTTAGAGCAGGGAGTTAGAAAGGTCTGGCCTTGGACGGGACAAGGACAAGGGGCAGGGAGGAGCCAAGGACACGTGGAGCTTCCCAGCCTCGTGACAGTTGGATGACTGCAGCCTCACACCATACCAGGAAAGAAGGAGGAAAGGCTGGAACTGGTTTTGTAGGGGATGGGGTGGGGTGAGGCGTGTGGAGTGGGGATGGAGGGGGCTGGGGACAGGGGACGGGAAGCTGGTGGGCTTGACTGCTTCGATGCAGGACAGGGGTAGGGCCAGTCTTGCATCACCCTTCTGCTCCACTGAGTTGCATGCGCCTGCCCCTCAGTCCTTGTGTCCCTCCTACCCCCTGCCCACCCCCGAATTCCTTTCCAGGGCAGGGCCCCTTGGAGAACTTCTTACCAGTCAGTACACTCATCTCTACAGGGCCTGAGGGGAGGCACCCCGCAGAGGGGAGTGCGTCCACTGAGGTCACCACTGAGCCCTTCACTGCAGTCAAGGTGAAAGGTCATCATGCAGGGCCCATGGGCCGAAACCTGAAGCCGTGCACTGTGGAGAGGGAGGTAGATGTTAGACAGCCCCCTGAGAAGCTCAATCCCCTGTGGGCCAAACAGACCTGCCAGAAATTCTTGCTTATCTGGAATGCGGCCTTGGGCCCTTGGGGAGGCAGCTTTCTTTGTAGGGATGGCCCAGTGCAGGAACCTTGGCATGAGGA